TGGACTAGTAGAGGCTGTTGATGATGATGATGGTGATCATTAATCAACGCACTCATCATCAAATCAAATTAGTAATAATTTTACACTTATATTTTATTTTCGTTCTCAATCATAACTACTCTCACAACATTCACAAAAAAGGAAAAGCAAAGAGAGGGCAAACAAACTCATCGCTTATACACTTTCAACGGTGACTTCACTATTTTCATAGCCATCTAGATTACTGAAAATCTCGATGTCCTAAGCAACGAGGGGAATGCCTTCCCAACAAACAAACTAAGCTTATAACATTAAGTCTATAAGGTCTTAACTCTTATACTTGTTATAAAAGAGCATTTATTATGTCAATGTTCCTTATAGTGGCACATTAGTAGAAGATTTGGCTAAATGTTCCTTATAGTGGCACATTATTAGAAGATTTGGCTAATATTACTTTTATCCTTATAATTAGGCTGGGTAAACGTTAATAAATCCAATTAATACGGCTACAATAAGGGTTCGAAATGTGTTCTTCTTATAGAGGCTAGTTACATTGCTTTTTAGGCTAGTTACATTCTAAGTCATATAAAGACTTTTAATATGGTCAATTATTCTTAGAAAAGTAATGCATAAGGTAACTATGATGCTCTCTAACTTTTAGGAGCATTTGATAAGACGTCTAAACAACAAACGAATTCTAACATTTTATATGATCTTTACAAGGATGAAAGCAATCCGTATTCCCATAAACAGTGATTATAAAGATATTATTCTCTTTAGGGTTACATTAAAATGTTTTACATAACTAGATTCGCCATTTTGAAAGTACAGCAGATTCTGTGAATTGATTACGGAGCGGAATTTACATTTAAAAAATGGATTCAAAAGACTGGAAGAAGTTTAAAAGGAGCAGTGGTTACAGAAGACAAGTAAAAAAAGTCTACCAAAATATGGCTGTGAGCATTACACCCACCACATCTACTCCTATGATGCTACAAAATGACCAAGCCGATACCAACGAATCAGCCAGTGGTTCCGCAGAGGATTATTTTATAGAAAATGATAATGAAAAAGAAACCAGTGAGGAAGAATATAATTGTGGCGATAGTGATAGTGATATAGACATATTTTTAAATGAAGAGCTGAAGAATATTGATATTCGTAGTGATATTAGAGAATGGGCAGTGAAATTCAACATTTCACATATAGCTTTAAGTGACTTATTAAAAATATTATATCATGTAATGCCAAACAAAATGCCATTAGATGCGCGTACATTGCTCAAAACAAATAAAGTAGAAATATGCATTACTGAAATTGGTACTGGACATTATTGGCATAATGGATTACTTACACAATTACAAAAAACCTTCAAACCCGCGCGCTAACAGATGTGGGCCTCAGGTTATACTAAATCCTACCTACCTACATGCTTTTGTTATTCAGATATAGGAATAGGACCGATTACCAATTTTGGGATTGTCCGTTCAGCAGGATTACAAAAAAACGTAATAAAGTAAAACTAACATTTTATTAATCAGCTGATAAAGTTACCGTACTCAGTCTGTAAGGTACGTGACCTTTCTTTAGGCACTAGTCTAGTAGGTACCTACTACTATCATGAGTAAGATTTCCGCTTTTTAGTGATGCTTAAAAATGAGTTAATTATCATTAGGTAGGTGATTTTAGAATTCGAACTAGATAAAATATGGCTATCGTTCACTGTAGCCTGTATTGTAGGTATCTAGAAAACGGCCGGCGCGCGGCGGGCGGCCGCGGGCGCCCGCGCCGACAGTCGCGTCAACCGTCGAGACGACACTCACATACATGTTTGTTTTGTTAAAATAACTTTAGTTCGATCTGAAATACTGTCAAATATAAACAATTTAAAATAGCAGCTTTATTAATTATTGAACACGTACCGTAATTTAAATTGATTATTTATGTATTTTTTGACAACCTCCTGAATTTTGACAAGGATGCAAAACTACACCTTGTGTAAATAATTATATTCTTTATTGTGTAAGTACTTAGAATTATAATTATACTTCTTACTATAAATTACGTAAATACATAAAATAATTACTTACCGTTCACTTTTCACTTATAAAATGGTTGACTTTTCTCTTTATTAGCCAAACTGTTGCGAAAATGCCAAATCACTAAGAAAAAGACTTATTGCAGAATCATAAACAGACGGCTTTAAGGGCCTACGGCTTTTTAAGAGCCTTTGATTTTCTGTAATGAGTTTAACTACCTTATAATGGCCCGTATATGCTTTCTATATGTTTCTTACAAGTGTATGAGGTGGCTTTTTAGGAGCTTTTTTCTTGCCATTATAAGTTCAACTTCCTTGTTCCATGTCATAATATAACACGTATAAGGAAAAAAAGCGGACAATAAAGCAACTTCAAGAGGGGTATAAGTTATTGTCCTTATAATTTGTGCCCAAACGCACCCTTATTAGCGATAATGCGGCTCCTATAAGAATATTATTTTTGGTCATGAAAGTCACTTCAAGAACAATTTTTGTTTGTTGGGTTAACTATCAAATTGAGATTCTTTATAGAAACATCGATTTTTTTTTATCAATTCGAATCGCATCCTAAAAGCCAATTCTCGTAATAAAAATTCGATTAAAATTCGGTTCCGATCTACTCTCGATCTCACAAATGTCAAAAATTATATTCTTGTAGTCAAATTTAAGACATCCATCGTTGACTGTAATGTTATGAGGATATTGACAGTTAAATTGATATTCTTCTATTCTTGGTTGGTAAACTCCAATTTGACATTTCTATGCGATTGAATGTTCACATCAAAAAATTTGATATGAAATATTTTGATCTTAAAGCCAATCAGGGACCGAAATATGATTGTATCGAGACTAGAAATGGGCCTAAGACTGGATTTAAATTTTTCAGTAATTTATTGCCTAGCACAGGGTTTTTATTCAACTGTTTAAAAAATAAGTAACGTGGCTTTGAGAATTCTGACAGCACCATGTAGGTACATTTGAAGCCACAGAACGCGTATTTAGCGTTAATGCTTACATACAGAGTGTAAAACGGAATCGTCTTACTGCAGAAATATTTTGGAATATATGAAATAAACGTAAAAAATATATATATAATGAATGCTATGATAAGCACCGATGAAAAGGTCAGTGAGACAACTCCTCAGGAAAGTTCACCGGACAGAATGTACGTTAATGAAGGTGAGGTCGATGCATCATCTCAAGGTATAGCGTTCTGAGAATGACTGATTTACATATTGCATGCTCATTTTGTAAATAAAAATAATAGCATATAAATCCTTTTTTAAAATATATTCGAATATTGATTCTCCTCATTTCTTAAAATAGGTTAAAAACTAAGCTGTCATGGCTGTGAAAATGAAAATTTTGAAACAGTTGATATGCTTCCAACAAAAATATAACTTCTATAAGTTACTACATGATCTATTCAAAAGGCAATAATTGTCACATTTGATGTCCCGAAGTGAGAGCGTGCTTGACAAAACAGAAAAAGGTTTTAATTAGTATTTTAGAGCTCTAATAGTTAAAAACCCGCTATTTGGGTTGAAACCCGTTTCTTCCCCAAAAACACGGTTGAAACCCGTTTCTTATCCAAAAAACCCGTTTTAACCCTATGGGTTTAAACCCTCTGCCCATCTACAATTGAGACTGAATTATGGATTGACTAAAAATAGGTATTCTACTAACAAAAATTACATTCCAGTCTCAGTATCATCTCAATATAATCTTGGCCTTCAGGGAATTCTTTAATTCTGGGAAGTCAAAAATTACATTTCTTTTATAACCATACCAAAGTATCAGGAAGGATGAGACATTTTTTTTACAAATTTACTTGTTACATTAAAAAGTTTAGAAAATATAATAATATAATATAGCTTGAGCTGCCCAATGCTCTATGTCTAAGCTTTTGAATAACAATCAATGTTGCCGACAATCGAAAAAAGGCGCTGACAAGGCTCAGATGATCCCACGATACTCATATACTTTATAGCTTTTATTTTTATTATATATAATTAAGTGAGAAACTGTTGTAAGTATATAATTAATGGACACCAGGGAGGCTGTTGGTATTAACTCGTTGTGAAGAACTCTTTTTAGAAGCATGTAAGGAGAGTTCTCGTTTAGTTCGGACTCTCTGCACATTCTTCACGATGAGTACATTCAACTAACTGTAAATCATTTTATGGTTTTTATCGAATTAGGAAACATCTTATATAATTTTTCTAGGGTGAAATATCAATGCACTGAATGATTTAGTACTACATATCGATTAAAATAATCAATTTCAAGCCTGAGAAATCGACTTTTTGATTAATTAATCTCGTATCGCCATCGCCCATTACAGTGATGCCAACTCCGGGGGTTTTTCCTAAATTCAGGGAGAAAAACCTATAAAGGGAGTTTTTAGTGAGGTTAAATTTTTTGGGGGTATTTTTAGGGATAAAATTTGTTTTTTAACAAATTTCACAGTATTTTTTATGTATAATCTATCAACAATACTGAAAATAAACAGATTAAATTCCAGTTTTAATGGATGACGCTATGTCATACATTTTTGATTATAGTCTAAACAGCTGACAGCTAGTTAGCTAAATCTAATTGGCGTTAATGTGCATTGGCATTAACGCAAATTAGATTTAATTTAATTCATTCCAAATTTTTAATAGTTCAGTTCTTATTTATTTATTTAATTATATTTAAATGAATCGCTCATTATGGAGGATTGGTGTGAATTTAGTGGTTTTTAAAATTGCTTTATTGGAAAAGTTTTTAAACAGTTGGCAACACTGACCTATCCCTAATGTCAAATCTTAATCCCTAATGTTTTTGTACAACATGTCACATGTTCAGTGGACTGTTTAGTTCATATGGTTGAAAAAAATAATAAAATCGTATATTAGGCATAAGACACTTATTTATACGTAATAAATTTAATTTGTCAGATTAAGCAAAATTAAATAAATCATTAAATTAAATTATCATAATGTCAACTAGAAGAGCAAGAATAAAAGCCGTAACTTCCCTACCGCCTCGAAGAAAAAACAACGATAATGGAGACAAGAACAAACCCTCAACTATTTCTAAAGATGAAGTAGAAAAACTTAAAAGTCCTAAAATACCACGAAGCTCAATAAAAAATCAGGAGTGTTTAGGAAAGGATTCTCCTAAAAGTAAGATAGGTTCTCCTTTAAAATCACCTCGAAGTGTAAATAACAATGTTACTATTCAGTCAGAGCGCATACTGTCACCTACAGTCAAAGAGGTTCCAAAAGATATTCCAAGAACTCCAAAAACCTCAGAAAAGGTATCAGTCATCACAAGCACATCAAGTATCAAGCCTGTGTTTATATCCCCAAGGAGTGTTGATAGCCCCCTTAGAAAATCCACTGTGCCTACACCAAAAGCCTCTGTAGATGCCCAAAAAGTTACCACACCTGAGAAGATGGTTGAAAGTCCTAAGCTCAATAATAATACTGAATTAAATGCTAATGTTGATGAAATTAGAAAAACACCAATAGTTCCATCATCTACTGCTACTGATAAAACAAAAAATGATCTTCCAGATGGTATGTGTGATATTCAATTTTACTTATAAAAATAGTGACAAATGAATTTTTAAGTAAATTCAAATCAGTTTTAAATAAATACATAAAAGAAAAAGGGTTACATTAAATAGGTTCTATTGGTATTGTACTATTCGTGACCTACCTATTCTGTGCCTATGTAATTTTGTATATTGCTTGAGTAACTTACAGTCAATAAACTACAACTGATGCTGAAAACGTGATACATATTGGTTTTCTGTGAGCCCACAGTATCTCTCCAGTCAAACTGGCCTAAATATGCCAAAGCATAGCTAAAGATTTTGGAAATACATTTAGTTCTTAACATAATCCAATATATAAATACCTTGTGTCATAGTGTTTGTGGTCACACTCCTCCAAAACTACTTGACCAATTTGAATGTTTGTTTTATATATTTGGTAGGAATAAGAATAAAGTATTTTCCACCCTCCTACCACCTTTTTTATTCATGATTTTAGTATTTTTGCATGTACAAATATCTGAATAATGTTTGCCAGGTCAGTTAGTACATACATATATATATAACATAATTAAGCTTTTGTTATTCCAGATTACAATGTACCAAGCGTACCTGAAAGTGTGACAGAAGATGGTATGGATGGTATTGTGCCATTACAACCAGTAGCCAGTGCCCCTAAACCTATTGCTCTACTGAAAAATGAAATCATATCGGAAAATGCAGAAGTACTATTTGACCCCATTGTACCTCTGCCCTCCCCTAGTAAAGTTAGAGCTAAGCTCCGGCCCATACCACGTCTTAATCCTGTCAGAAGAAATAGTATACAAGTAAGTAAGTTTTTCTTTTCAGTTCATCAACAGCCTTCAATAGTCCACTGCTGGACATAAGCCTCTCCTTAGAAAGGAGGTTCAGTTAATATTAATAAATAACTACTTACTTTCTCTGACACATTAACACCTCTATTAATCAATGTGGGATTTATTTATAAGGTTCTATTCTTTTTAGTTATGAACCTTAGTGACTATGTGACTTTTTCCCATAACCATTCTATGGTTTATGAAAATTTTTATAATTTGATGACAGTAGAGCCACCAGAGACAGGCAATAGAGATGACAGTATCATGTATACTCAAATCAATGAAGTGAAAAAATAATTAAAATTTGAATTAGTTGATAACTAGCATTAAAATTAATTTCAGTTTCACACTTTAAATTCTGTCACAAATAAAAGATGTACACATGATGTGCATGTGGTAGAGTCTAGCAAACTATTTGTACTACACTCAGGCGCGACTGACAATGCACCACACTGTGTTTCTTCACTGTTAGATCTTATCATTATATCCAACACTTGAGCATGTGACCAATCATGGCCAGTGCTCCGCGGATGAGTTTTCCCATCATGATCTAATCTATCTGTCCTACGCTTTTCGACCTCCTAAATCCAAACCTAAAATTGTCATGTAACTCAGTTTTGGTAGCAGGGATCGGGAAAAGCTATGTGTAGATGTTAGTAGCATTGACTGGCAACCTCTGTTATCTTCCAAGTGTATTGACACAAAAGTGATCATTTTAAATGAAAACTTAATCAATTTATATGATATTCATGCACCTCTTCGGTTAAACTAAAGCATTCGCCTGCTCCATGGTTCACCGATGAAATATTTGTATAATAAATTCGACAAATACGTGACTATAATTGATCACTGGAGTAAGGTATGTACAAAAGCGCAACACATTCAATAATCCATTGAAAACAACGATCCGGTGAAGATCTGGAAATTTCTGAAAACATTATGAGTTGGAAAATTGAACCAAAACCCTATTTCTAAAGAATTAAATCTAGATTCACTTAACAAGGATTTTTCCTCCTTGTCTGATTTTGATGAGACAAAAAAAGCTAAAACTTTAAAATATATTTCATCTATTCAAACTCCTAACTGCTATCCTTTCATTTTTAATCAATTGGCAACTTGTGATGTTAGGAAGAGCATACTTTCAATCTCATCTAATGTGGTGGGAAGCAACTGCCTCAGTAAAAAAATTATTGTCCCCATCCATGATGATATTCTCTCTGTCCTATATAACATTTTCAACCATTCCTTATCCTTCGGCGTCTTTCCATCTGCATGGAAAGCAGCTGAAATTATCCCTTTGCTAATAAAATCGAAACCTTCGTCCTTCTCAGACTATCGCCCTATATCTATCTTACCATTCCTTTGTAAAGTTCTTGAACGTCTTGTTTATAAACAACTCAACAAGTTTCTGTTCAAGAACAATCTCCTAAATCTTTTAGTTTGGCTTCTGTGCAGGACTCAGTACAGTGTCAGTATTAGTCCACATCACAGATTATATTAGAGAAAATATGGATAGTGGAAACGTAACGGTATTATCCTTACTCGACTTCAGTAACGCATTTAATACCGTTGATTTCCATATTCTCCTTGGTATTTTTTAAAAACCAAAATTTCTCCAGTCCTGAGTCCAGAATCCAGAATCACATTAGCTAATCATAAAAACAAAGAACACACCAAACTGTATTCCAGAATATGGGTCTATGGGTGTTACATCACTATCATGTCCAATTTACTTTATCAATAAACATTGTTGTGATACTGATAGAATTGTCTGTCTGTTATACAATAACATATAATCAATGTGGAGTACTTGGGCAAACTTTTACTGTTTATGTAGACGCCATATTATAAAAGAAATTAACTATTGTGTGTTGTTTATAATTGTTTAAAACAAATTAAAGATAATTCTGTATTGCGACATGTGGTTTAGGTATACTGTTCTTGAGTTTGTTCGAAAGTAAGTGAAGGGATATATATACCTATACAAGAATTGCTCGTTTAAAGGTTTTAGAAAATGCTTTGTGATTTTTATCAATATTATTTAAAAACCAAAGCCTTTTGTTGGATTGACTCAACACCAATGCCTCACAGTACAACCTTTTGACTTCATTTGGCAAAGCAGTCGCAACTTGCTATTTTCTTAATTGTCTACCTAGCATGAAATTGGTACTGCACTGGTCTGTCTGGATTACTATTTATCACCAGAAAAAAACAACAAAGTATATACATGATACTAAAATTAGATACATAGTCTTTGCATTTATAATAATTTTATTAATAATAATAAAGTGATAATGTACCTCACACACAGCCATCTGATCCTACACTAGGCAGAGCCTGTCCTATGGTAATCAGACTGCCGATAAAAATATTAGGTCTTTACCTATGAAATTGCCGTTTTGTATGCAATAAGTGAAAGTACTTATTTTTTCAAACTTTTTTATTTCTGTTATTCGAAGTAATCACCCATGCAATCGACGCATTTTTGCCAACGCATTGGCAGTTTATTGATGCCCTTCTTGTAAAAATCAGCTAGACGGGAGTCAACAAACTCTTCAAAGGAATTTTGTACTGCCTCTCGGGAATTGAATTTTTTACCCACTAAAAAGTTGTCTAAATTTTGAAAAAAGTAATAGTCGGTAGGTGCAAGTGCAAAGATGGGTCGATTGCATGGGTGATTACTTCGAATAACAGAAATAAAAAAGTTTGAAAAATAAGTACTTTCACTTATTGCATACAAAACGGCAATTTCATAGGTAAAGACCTATTACGTATATATTTTTAAATACATACATATTATATAGACAAATTATACCCAGACACAGAACAAATAACCATGCTCATCACACAATATTTGTCTTGGGAATCGCACGTTTAAATATGTAGTTGGGAAAATTTATTATATGAAACAGTCATCTGTAAAAAAGTCCTAAAATATAAAGCCAGCCAGCTTATCCTGGTGTGTTAGATGATACAAAACTGAAGGTAAAATGTTCACTGTCCAGGGTAGCGCCAGCGAGTCTGAAGATGAAAGTCGTCGGGGTCACATTAATGCTGGGTCGGTAACTCCAGCGCCGTCACGACAGCGAACAGAGTCGTATACTTCAGTCAGTACTATGTTGTCTTTGCCTAACAGGTGACTATAAACTTTATTGTAGTTTGGAAAAATGTTAAGAAACATTATCGTTATTTTTACTATTACTGCATTTCTACAATACGTTTCATGACAGGCCGACAAGTCCTTCCAATGGCATAAGCCTCGATAAATGTGGCTATGCTTGAAGCATCCTGTTAGTTTTCGGACCAGGTGCGCATCCCAGCTTCTCACGTACATCTGTCATATTTAATATGAAAAGTCACGACCTTTCAATACCAAAAGATCTGGCCTAACTGGGCCTCAAAGCTTTCTGAAACTGACTCAGACTGACCCTCTATAGCTGAGGTGGCTAGTGGCAGACTATGTAGAAGAGCTTAATGTCATGCACGAGGGCAGTATAAGCATTGATATCTGAGGCGTCGGCCCATGTGCGATGTTCCACAGGGTTCTGTTCTGTGGAACATAGGGTACGACTCTTCGAAGAGACTTCCACCCCCCCCCCCCCCCAGCCTCCTCCCGGAGCTCACCCATATAAAAAGGGGATTGGTAACAGCGCTTAATCTTTTTAATAAGAAATTGGTTACATAGACCTCAAGATAAATAAATTCTGGTTATCGTATATGTAAACAGTGTTACAGGTCCTAAATATGCATTAGAAGTTCTGAGATAAAATTTGTAATTTTCCAGGGATGTTGCCCGAGTAAGGAATGACTCTGTGTGCTCAAGTGTTAGCCAGATTGTCAGCCAGCCACCAGCCCCCGCCTCGCCACTCAAGGAAAAACAACCCTTTAAGTAAGTTATTGCCTGCAAAAAAATAATATTCCAATTATATTAATATATACCTTTTAAGATGGTTTTCTAGAAATATTTTTTAATAAACCTGCTATAATGTACTCCGCAATATTAACAAAATTTTACCATAAATGATCGGTCCGAAAATTTATTTGTCTATTGTGTGTGTAAAGCAGATATAAAAAAAAATATGTGTAAAATATTAAATTTTTAATTACTTTACTTATTCTTGTAAAAAATCCTAATTAATTCACTTACTGCATCTTATCTGCTAGACCACTTCATAAAATAGTAGATTAAAATCAATGGGCTTAAAGTTACCCTTTCACGAAAAGCTCCTGTTTTATCAAAACCAAATGCATTTTTAATTTCATTTGAACAATTTAAATTATTTTCAATTTTCCTTTTTTTATTGAATTTGCCTGCATAAGGCGCACCTAATGCCACAGGCATTTTCATCCAGTTAAACCTTTGGGTGTCTCAAAGCTGTGTGTGGCAGGTTGTATATTTGGAACGAGTAAGACATGAGACTAAATTAAAGTATGTTACAAAAGAAAAAGTCCTACAGATAAATACTAGGTATACAATCATAGTTTATACATGCTATAGCAGGGATTTCCAAACTATATTGGGCAAGAGACCCCTTTTCTAAAATGAACTGATATCTCAAATTACTGCATGCTTATCGACTTGTTGAGTTTTTAAACTACTACTTCCTACTAAAATATAAATATTTTAATAACAACTTAATACACGTACAACTAATACAGTATTTTGAAAGTCTCAAATAGTAACTTGTGTAAATAAAAGAGCTCGATTTTTAGACCTCCTTGACCTCCAAAATCAGTTTTCCTTTATGTCGACCCCTAGTAAAACGGTTTTTTCAATAAGGCTTGCCAACAATTGTTACATAAAAACTTGTAATATACTGCTAAAGAAAATCAATTAACAATGTAACCATTACTTCAGGTAAACACCGCTTTTGCAAAAAATATACAAACATTAAAAATAAAAAAAGTAGACTCAAACAATAATCTTAAACTACATGCAGATTACATTAAACTAAATCATAATTTTGTGGAACTGTATCCGGTAAACAAACGAGTGACTTGATCGAGATCAACCACTTTGGGAATCCCTGTATAGTATAGTACAAATATCAATATATTTAAAATAACATATAAATAATAAAAACACTCTTAATTTTTTATTTAAAATACATATTTGAAATACACAATTCTATTTAAAATTATTGCTTAAATATAATGTGAATTGTGGAATTATAAAATCTAATTGTACTTAGATCTCGTCGTCAAGACATGTCACGACGCATGGCTGCGATGCGCCGGCGCCGTGAGACCGTCAAGCGTGACGCACTCACCATGTACGATCTCATCTTCTATAACCCCACAACCAACCCTATCGTGTAAGTATTTTAACAATTATAATCGGTGTCCGTTGTACATATTCATTTGTATAGTTTTGTGTTTCATCCTTCGAATATTGCAAAATAAATTGTTTGCAAAATTAGTTAAGTGTGTGAATCTATAAAAAAAAACTGAATTTAAAGACGATTAGGTCCACAGCTCTAATCTATAGACACTTTTAATTCGAGATAAAAGGAAAATTTAATAAAAAAAAAGCCCAATGAAATATTCTTATTGTTCATTGGATTAGGTGAGCAATAAAATTACTCTTAGTCTAGTCCTTAGTGATACAAAAAAAACATATTTATAATTTCATGTCTTCTCAGGTCCGATCAACTCAGTTTCAACTGGATTCTTTACCACCAAGACTGTAAGCCGTGGCCTAAATCACTATCATATAATTTAATATCTTCGTTAATAATAATAATTCTTGTTTTAGTCCTAATCAAGATGAGTTAAACGCTATAGAAGCTAACGAAAAAGTAGAAACAATGCGCAAATCAGCTCCAGAACCGGAAAAGAACCCAGACGACCCTCCGGCGCCGGCATCAGACGCTGCGCCCGTGCCTCAAATTAAATTGGGGCCCAATGGAGAAATCATACTCGATGAACAGAGCTTGGTATGCCTTTTTGAAATAAATTACATTTTTCTTTCACAAATATGAACAACTTCAGTGTGGTCTAAAGCCTCGCACAACCAGCCTTTCACCACTTTCAAAATTTAAAAACGACTTTAAAGAAAGAAAGGCAACCCGCTTGTGATTACAATGAGTTGCAAGTATCAACGGCAGAATCACATATCATCAGGGAGCCTAGTGCCAGTTCACCCTATATTAGAAGAATCACATGATACAGATTCAAATAGACGTCACAATAAGAATATTGTGACGTTGATTTGAATCTGTTTATTTGTTGTTATAAACATAGTCGAGAGTCAAAGTATGCCACCCCCGTGATAAAAAGAAACTACAGTACAGTTCACTACTCTATTTAATAAAAAAGTGAAAGATTTATAGTTTTTTTTAAGATTGTCATTATTTTAAATTTTGACGATAAAATGACTCTGACCAGTCAAGAATTATCATAGTTGTACTCCTCCCTATAATTTTAGAGGCCATACAGTATTTAATAGCAATTATATTTTAATTAATTATTTTAAGTATTTTTGATATTTTTTTTGTTTTTTATATGAATGATGTTGCTAGTACTTTACCTGTAAATATTTCAGGTTATAAAGCAATCAGAAAAACGCACGGTTTCATCGTCGGTCGTGATTGAAGGTTCCTGGACTGGTCTGGGCTCAGGTCGATACAAGCGCGGGCCCCGCACAGCTGAGTGGAACAATGCGGAAACCGTACGGTTTTACAGAGCTCTAGCTGCACTCGGAACTGACTTTATGTTGATGGAGCGTTTGTTTCCTGGAAGGACTAGAAGAGACTTGAAACTAAAGGTTTTTTAAGTTGTATAATTTTTTCAGTGATTAAAATATGCGGACCGTTTTTTCAAAAAACATAAAATGGCAATGAGAAAAATAAGATCACGAATTAAAAAAGTTTTATAAAATATTAGGATGAAAAATAATTGAAATGCAATCTTGTCTATTATAAATAATATAAGGAAATCGTGTCTTTAGGAATGTGTTGTTTAGTCTTTGAAGTTCTTTTCGAGTACCTACCTCGGCGGTCAAACTTACTTATTCCGAGGGTCACGAGTAGTAAAATGTGAATCTCTAGTTTTTTATGTTTTAAAGTTTAAGAAGGAAGAGCGTGTGAACGCCGCGCAAGTAGACAAGGCGCTGCGGACGTCATCGAAGTGGGACGCGACCAAACTGGAGGAGGAGTTCACCGCCGAGCGCGAGGCGGAGAAGCGCCAGGCGCGCCACGAGGCCGAGCGCGTCACCCGCCGCGCCCAGGAGGAGCGCGAGCGGCACAGGGTGGCCAAGGAGCTGCACGTGCGCCAGAGTACGTTATACCTCACTCGCCTCATACGGCTACGTACACGCACACACTAACTACAAATTGTAACGACACTAATCTAATTATACTCAATACTGTGACAGTGGTATTGATCTACGTTATTATGTCACAGGTAAAGCGTCCAAGGCGATGGAGTCTTCTATACTGCCCGATTCAGAACAAGGTAATGGAGGACTCACGGCAGACGATTTCATACGACGCCACCTCGAGGATAAAGGTGAAACTAAAGGTCGAAAACGGAAACCGAGAACCGCTCCGAACACTTCTCAGCCGGTACCCATTGCACCGGCTCCTCCGACCGCTAATTCTCCATACGCCCAATTGACTTTGATAAACTCTCCTATGGGCAATCGAAGAACTCCCGCCGCCGGCGATATGGCGTCTATTTTGAAGGCAGATCAGACGAAAGCACCGACCAAAACCCCTGAACTCCTTAATAGCGCCTCCGGCGTGCCTTCGAATATTGAATCAGGATCTTTAGTAGTCCTCACAGTGGACGATCCAAAGTCTCCGTCGAAGAAAATGTTACAAACTTACATAGCTCACGGCGGAGGTAAACTGACCCCTGTTGCTTTGCCCCCTAATCTTTTAAACTCTGTTGTGTCTTATATGAAGAAAGGTACACCTCGGAGTACTGTATCAGGTGCGTCCTCACCTAGCAGTATTATAAGCCAGGACAGTCGGAGCACCACCCCTGGTGTTATTTTACCCAGTCCTGCGAAGCGACAACGGCATAGTTCGTACACTATAACTCAGCTTTGAGCTAGAGCGTCGTAGCAGCTGTGTTTATATAATTATGTATACAGGAGTTAACGCGCTCACGAGATGTATAGTACGTATAGACTTATCTCATGTTATATCTTCGATATTATTGATTTTTCTTTGAGTTATATAAATTATCAATAATATCGAAATTTTATTGATAATTTCCAGGAAAATTTTGGAGAAAAATCTTATGACCGATGACCTAGTCAGCCTGTGGACCTGGCAGTGCAACCTGGTCGAAATAAAGGTGTGTACTACCTTTTCAACTATACATATCGTGAGCGTGTCAATTCCCGTAAACATATTTATATATAACTAGCTTTTACTCGTGGCCGTGCCCACGTGTATGTCAGTTATCGCAGTAAAAAGTAGCCTATGTCCTTCCTCAGAATCAAAGTATCTCCATGCCAAATTGCATTAAAATCGGTTCAGCGATGTAGACATAAAAGGGTGACAAACAAAGTTACTTCCGCATTTATAAGTATGGATAGAACGCATTAGTTTAAATGTTAGAACAGCCGTGTATATATTTTCAGTATATACCTAATGATACAAAGTTATGTGAATACAATAATATATTAAGATGCTACGTTACAAATAAACATACATAAAAAAAAACATACAGTGGAACATAGAACCTCCTCCTTTTTGACGTCGGCTAATAGTACAATTAACTTGTAATTCACGTGGAATATAATGTTGAATCTCATATAAATTGCAATTAAGATACATGTTTATATACAACCATGTTTTAAGATATTGTTGTTGATAGCTTTATGAAATGTTTCTTTCTTTTACTGAAATGAGACTCGTGCGATGACGGGGTCTAAAAGTGTAATCGAAAGAAAATAGTTGCCAATGTGTATTCAATATAGCTATCACTTGAACTCTATTCAAGTGGCTTGTTACCTAGTTGGAGATTTAAAAAATATATAAAACGTATATTATTCCACATGCAGTAATTATGAACTAAGTATAAAGTAAGTTAAATTTAGAAGTGTTATTGTGAATATTATATAGTCGCGATAATAATAGGAAAAATTTACTCGTATTTTCATTAAAAAAAAACTGAAGCTACATTAGTAGAAATGCGTTGTGTTTCGTTCCGCAAAGATTTTGTATTTCCAACACAATTACGGAGGTTGTGACGTGTACAAATAAAAATTACATATAAACATACGCTCAGGCTTCATTCCGTCCGGGGTAGGCAGATCCATACACCCATAGCTGGGCACAATTAATCAAATAGTTACTTCGTTAATCCGTTACCAAAAAATTAACTTCGTTAAACGTTGAAACGTTAAATTTCGCAAGATTTAACGTAAGTTAACGTTAATCTGTTAACACGTGATAGAATTTATGTCGTTGCTTTAGTGATCTACTAATAAAAACTGTAGGATTAGATTCTGGAAGTAACAGATTACGAACAAAAAACTTGAACCAAGTATAATAGTTTGTAATTATTCACTGTTTCGATATTTGTATCCATCCGAAAAAGAGTCAGTCATCTGTAAAGTTAAGCGGTATTATTACTACTATCTCTTTATTAAGTTTATACCTTATAAAGAGATTTATAAATGTCTGTTCATTCAATCATTGAATGAGTCTTTCGATTTCATATTCTACGTTTTGATGAGACTTTGAGCTTTAGTCTTTAAAGATTTGTGACTCTTAGGTACACTCCATCTTTATAGATTACACACTGCAGAGACACAAATTATAACGGATTGCACACAAAATCCAAAAAGTAGTATTTATTTGTATAAAACAAAACACTTGTCACTCTCAGTCCCGGCGCTAAGTAATGCCATGAATCATAAAAACAAATTTCTTCCCTATTTTCTCACACACACGCGCTGGCAAAACATTTGTCTATCTCGGCTTGCATCGACATCGCCGACCGATCCGAACGTACATGTCGGAACGTGTATTTCGCGACGGGGTCGCAAAATAGGATTAACGACTAACGGACTTTAAGGAATTTAACGTAAGTTCACGAATCCGTTAACATTTTTAGCGTCACCAGTCTGTTCCCTTGCCCCCTTATACCATAAAAAAACAGTGTCACTCCGGTGCCGACAGAAGTAAAAACTTCAAAATTTATAAATTTTTGACTTGAAACTTGGCAACTGCAATGAATAGCTTTTTAAGTCTTATCTCAAAGATAACTTCATGAAGATTGTTAGAAAACCATAGACTTCGCTAATATGCACTTTCTACTTTATTAATGGTCAAAGGCGTACACAATGTCTCTTAGTTATTATAGGTTTGATCTTGCTATTTTATGTAGGTTAATTTAAATTATTTTTACACCTAGTGCTTAATAAATGGTTTTGTAGATAGGTACGATTATTTATACATTTCATATATATATATATATAGCACAAAAATGAAATATGATGCAAATAGCCTAATTTTTTTAATGAGACCTAAACATTAAATGAATCCTAAAGATAAGAGATTAACCAAAATGATATGTAACATTATGTTATTTGTATTTATTTTTACTAATATTTATCTTTTTTGTGTAATATCAAGTGTTGAAATGTTTAGGTTTTTACTTTTAATGAATCTTTGATCTCATTCTAATTGTTCTTTAGGGGTAATCCATATACATTACATCACACGAATTTTATGTTTTTTGGAAATGCGACGTCATAAATCTTAGGACCCCTCCTACCCCTTGTCACACAATGTCACAATTTGTCGACTCCCTCTCCCTCAACGTTTGACATAATTTATGGATGGCCCCTTAGTAGTATGGAGTGTAGAGGTAAGGAAAACTATCTTTGTGTAGGAAGTATCAGTATCATTAGAGTAGTATAGAGAATTAAACAAATAAAAAACAAAATTGTCTATAACTGCTATGTTCATGTCCTGTTCCTTTTGGCTACATTAGCGCCATTCTGGTCGGTTTTAGAACTATTATTTTTGGCTTTTTAGTGGGTTTGCCGCCCATACATGATAGAGCTCCTTAACTCTACACTCCATACTTACTAGGTAGGGTTTACATTTAGGCAAAAAAAATCTGTTCTTCGCTTTTCTAAAAGTTAATTGCAATTTAAATCTTTTCGTCCTTTTTAACATAGTTATTATGTTAAACAGAAAAGGATTCATATTATGACTGGCCAAAAACGATTTGTATTGTTTGTAAGGTTCATGCAACCATATCAGCATGTTCATTCCACCGTAGCTTCTAAATGCCTGGTCAGTAAGACTTCTAACATCATCCCGAGTGACACTAGCTAAACTTACTTTGATGGGTAACATTTTTCATCTACGTCCTTGTCAAGAAACTGTCTGCTTAATTTGATCAATAAGCGCTCACGGTCATAGATGGCCGTTGTCAGATGGTAGGTAAAATGTCAGATCTTATTGAAATTCAAACATCATATGCGATTACTGTAGGGCTCGCCCGTTTTCTTAAATACAATATCCACTATATTGAACCTATACCATGTATTATAGCATATACTTCCTTTTTGACCAGGCATTTATTTAGTTTTTTAATTTTTGAAATTATTTATTAATCTTCATCTGTACCTTTTACCAGATTATTGCCTTCTTAAAACAATGTTTTAATGAAATTATATGGATATAAGAATATATGTTCAGCGTTGTTTTATGTACAATTGGGTGAGAATATAAAACAGGCCAACTTTAAATATATAAATATTGATAAAATATATATGCAGTGTAATCTATTAATATTTTTAATATTTGACTGTAAATAATGTTCTGGGGTGTAATATCCAATAAATTAAGAATGTTTACTTGCCTTTGTTTTCTTTAAGTACCTACTCCTGTTCTACTGCTCTCTAGTGAGTTATTTTGATATCAAGTGCGATGTTGCAATTGGTGAAGAGTTCAATGCGGGCCAATCGCAACGCCGAACGCGGTCGCTTTCTAATAATATTACTGTACTTATCTTACCTTCGACGTTTCGTTTGGCATTAGCCCTAGACCTATTATTATTACTTCGTTTTATGTTCATAAGTGAAATGACCATTCAATCTTGGTCGTAAGAAGTGCTGAAATCCTAAACTACATTCCAATCTGTTATGACAACCAGCTCTCTTAAACGTGTATCTGGTATACCATAACGTCTAGCTGGTTACCGTGAAGAGCCTTGATTCGGCACAAATTGCACCTCACGGAGTATGTGAGGTCGCCGGACCACGAAACCAACCCCGCCCTCTTCCCTCGCAGCCTCATTCTCGGGGTGGTCAAAGGGCGGTAAAGCATTTATCACTCTTGAGTTGCAGATTAGTCAATAATTGCAGGTGTCCATGGGCGGCGGTAGTCACTTACATCAGGTGCCTCGTGGGCCCCTCCCCCCTTCCTAAAAAAATTGGTCATCATTGAACACAACATTTCTCTTTAAAAATATTTATTTACAGTCAAGTGTGTTTATGTCTATATCATTATAGTTAAACTAATGTGCTTCTACAACTTCGTGGGGGAACCACTGCGAAGCTTCGAGACTGTCCCACAGTGACAACTCAGGATCGAGGAACTCTTGGTTCAGTAGATCAACGTCGATTGTTCTTTTGTGTTCTGTAACAAATAGAGACGGATTTTATAATTAACTTTAAATATAACATTTCGGACATCCGACACAAACCGCCATGCGCCATCCAGTTTCAAACTAAGCAGAGCTTGTACTTTAAAAGCTAGCTTGCCTTATATACTTTTCTTTGTAAATACATACATATTATACATAGAAAACACAAACAAAATTTGTAGATCATACAAACATTTGGTCCGACCCGGGACTCGAACCCGAGACCTCAGTACAGCAGTCGCATACGCTCCCACTGCACCACTGAAGCTATGAATTTATATACTTTGAATAGGTATATATTTTTATGTCTGAAAATGCGTAAAAAATTTGAGCGTAATTCTCGCAAACAATCATGTTTGTTAATATAATTGCATGTCCTATAAGCAATAAAAATAGAAAACGATTCCGTTTATCGTTAGATGTTAATAAAATAAGATGTCCGTTTTTTCGGTCAAAAACCATAATGTGCAATGGTACAATCTGCATTAATTTGGTAAAGATCTAATCACATTTAGAGCTCAGTGTAACAGCTTACGATACCTAAACCGACTGGTTAATCTTTTTATTTATAAAAAATACTGTAGACAATCATCAGCCTTTAATAGTCCAGTGCTGGACATGCCTCTCCTTAAAAAGGAGGTTTTGACCTACTCTACCACGCTGGCTAGATGGGTTGGTATAGGTTTCAAGCGTCTCCCCCCCGGGCTGGGTGTCATCTGCTACGCGGATGACACTTTTGTCACAGCCCGGGGGGCTAACTTCCAGGAGGCGGCGCGCCTGGCCGCCACGGGAGTTTCCCTGGTGGTCGGGCGCATTGAGGCGTTGGGTTTGCGGGTGGCCCTGGATAAGACGGAGGCCCTATTATTTCATGGGCCCCGTCGTGGTCCACCCGCCGGCGCCTCAATCGAGGTCGGTTCGGTCCTCGTACCGGTCCGGGCCCAGATGAGGTATCTGGGTCTGGTCCTAGACGGTAGGTGGCTCTTCGACGAGCACTTCCGACAGCTTGGTCCGAAGCTGGTGGACACTGCCTCCGCCCTAGGGCGACTTTTGCCCAATTTGGGCGGGGCCAGTGTTCCCACGAGGCGGCTGTATGCGGGGGTTGTCTGGTCCATGGCGCTGTATGGTGCACCGGTGTGGGTGGCGGCTCTGACCGCCCCGAATAGGGCGCGCCTTTGGCGCCCCCAGAGGATATTGGCGGTCAGAGCAATACGCGGATACCGCACGGTGTCCACCGAGGCGGCTTGCGCCTTGGCCGGAACACCCCCGTGGGATTTGGAGACGGAAGTGCTCGCCGAAGTTTATCGGCGAGTGACTGACTTCCGGGCGGAGAGCGGATTTCGCCCTCCGCCCGAAGACGTGCGCGAGTGGCGCGAAGCCGCTCGCCGAGCCACCATGGTCAGATGGTCGCTCCGGTTGGAGACTCCACGCGCTGGCTTCGCCGCCGTGGAGGCCTGATCCGCCGCCGGCGAACCGGGCGGCGGAGGCGCGGTTACCTGCGCCTCATGCCGCCCTGAGTGTGGCCGCGGGTGGACGGGATGGGTTCTCCCCTCCACCCGCATTAGTTGGCCAGCCGCGAGGGGGCGGCGTCCGCGTGTGCCGGACGTCGCCTAAAGAGAGGGTCCACTGAGACGGAGCCCGCATCAGGAGCGGGCCGGCGCTGGGAGGGGTCCAGAAGGCGATAACTACCTGGACCCCTCCTAACCTGGAAGCGCAAAGAGGGCACACAGTGTGGTTTTAGTCGGTTCGAGTCCGACACACCGCCCCGCCGAACGAGAGCCCCGGCGGGGTGACGGTCCGAGGGGATTTCCACACGTAAAAAAAAAAAAAAAAAAAATGTTTCAAGTTTTCTTTCTCTTTGTAGTGCTGTTGTCATGCATAGTTTGCTCCCTTAGTTGGCTCTGACGACACCCACGGGATGAATAGGGGCGGTGACACTCCGTATTCTAAATCCGTCACCGCACGGACGTATTCGTGGAATATTATAACAAATACTAAAAATATAAATAAGAATATATTCTAACTCAATTTTAGTTAACTTACAATACTTTGATTAAATGTTTAATACTGACTTATTTATGTAGCAACGTAATAGCCGGAGTGCTGTTTATCTGACTCCTATAACAGTGTTAATTATAAGAAATACAGTTTGCATGACATATCCTTACCTACTAAGGCCAACTCGTCGGTTTGCGCCTTGACGAGTGCGGCGGGCGGCTGCGCGGCGTCTGGCGCGGGCTGCGCGGCAGCGGCCGCCTGGCCCTGCTCGCCCTGCCCGTAGTAGCCCGACCACGCCGAATAGTTCTGCCAATATGCCGACGGATCATAGTATTGGTTGTACTCCTACGAAACAATGTGTTCCCCTGATTGTTTATCTGCCATTAGTATTAGCCTAATGTTATGATGTTACGCGACTCGGCTAGTTTCGACATCAGTGAATAAATATGATGATACAGAGGGCCTAGTGTAAGTTTATTTCACATCAACTTGGTCTCGACGGCGACCGCGTTCGACGTTGTAAATGGTGTAGATTTCAGTGCGGGCCAATCGCAACACCGAGTGAATCGGTCACCGTGACGATCTAGTAGATGTGAAATAAACTCACACTAGGTCCTCCGTATCATCATATTCATTCACTAATGTTGAACGAAATGTGAGAAGTATCGATTTACCACCGACATAACTTTGGTCAAGTTAATGTTCTGTGCTACATGCGCTCAGAAAGCCAATTCTCGTAATAAAAGTTCAGTCTCAATTCAGTTCCGATCAACTTTCGATCTCACAACTGTCATAAAAGGTATTTTCGTAGTAAAGTATTAAACATCCAAAAGTGACTGTAATGTGATTATATCGTATTGTAAGTAAAATCTGCTAGTTTTAGTAATACTTTACCATTTTATTACGAAAATAACTTTTAGGACAGTAACGAGATCGAAAGTTGATCGGAACTGAATTGTGACCAAACTTTTATGACGAAAATTGGCCTTCAGGTAAGTTACAATAATGTTTGGCATGGTAACCGTAATCAAGCAAAAGCGATTATATGCAAGCAACCGCATTTAGGCTTATACTTGGCAGAAGGGGTGACTTCAGGCTCATTTAGATAGTGAATTGAAATTAATGTATATTTATAAAAGCTAAACGCAATCAGATGTTAGCGAAAGATATGTTAAGGCCTGTGATGATTGTTTGTTACGAGTACAACATCAGTGTATGCAGTCATTTTTCTACAATCTTATGGCAACACTGCCCGAAAAAAGTTTAAGCAGAAAGCAACTTCTTATTGCCAAAATAAGACAATTAACCAAAATTATTACTTCATTGCTAATTGTATTATCTGGCATTATAAGGTTAATATACCGTTCCACTGTTGTAGGAAGCATTGCCTGCGGGAGCCGACGCTAGATTCTGATTTGTATTAGCACTCTTTGGTTTCGGTACTGCAGTGCAAGTCTTTAATGGTTTCGTGCCCAATCCGTTGTACCCATTCATAGCATATAAGGCATTTCTCTGTTCCTCTTCATTACCAAATCTTACAAAACCATAGCCTTTTGTGTATCCCGAGCTGTCTAATATTACTGCAAAGAAACCCATGTATGATAATAAAATAATAATTGAATATAATAACAGTGGATTATATAATATCTACATAACTGTACTGATAATGATAGTTAATTAAAAAAGTCAATATAAATTATGGTATGGTAGCAACAAAACGTGTTCAATAATGATTCTAATATATTTTAAAAATATTATGACATAAGAGTATTTTCTTATCCATACTAATATTATAAATGCGAAGGTCTGTTACCTCTTCATGCTTAAACCGCAACCGATTTACATGAAATTTGGTATAGAGATAGTTTGAGTCCCGGGTAAGAACATAGTTTTTATACCAGAAATCATCCTTTAAGGGGATGAACAGAGGGGTGAAAGTTTGTATGAGAAATCATAATAGACATTTGGTATGGAGATATTGTGATATGATTCTTGAGTAAGGACATAGTACTTTTTACCGCGATAGCTGAGCGGAGCCGCGGGAAAAAGCTAGTGTGATATATAGTATAGTGTCATTTAACTGAACTTTCTACTACCCTCATCCGACGGCCTGATAAAAGGACAAAAACTGTCTGCTGATTCATGCTCAAATCAAGCTTAGGGACATACTGATGGAAAAAATTTACCTACTCAAAACCATTTGCAATGCAGGCGAAAGCTTTGTTTGTATGATTGAGCGAATATCCATGTCCCACAATTACTTCAGATAATCGACACTGTATTGTACATATTTGTATACAAAAATGTATTAATCTGTGTTTTTTTTTAATACTACTATTCAATGATGTTGTTTTTAATTTAGGCTTCTATTACAAAGCATACTGACTTAAAGTTTTGATTGCATAAAATTTTACAAACCTTTTGCAGTTTTAATTGAAGAATATTTTGCGGCAAATACCCTATATAGTGAATAATCATCAACATCAGGGCTCAGGTCACCAACCCACACAGAAAACTCACGTTCTTGTTGCATGTTGGCGCGTGCTTCTCTTGAAGCAGTATTCAGTCTGAATCTCACAACTGGGAATGTACCAGGTATGGGCTTCCCATTAAGTTTATGCATAGCGTCAATAGCTTCGTCATCAGTCTGCAAATAGAAAAAAGAACACATATAATCATTGTCATTATAAACCTCTTTTTGTTAGACTATTTAAAACATGAATATTGGTTTTATTATAATAAAAGATCTGTTTTAAGTTTTATAACCGTTAACATATTTTTTAATAAAGAATTTTCTTACCCCTACGTTTTGTTTGCAACTCATTTACAAATTTTGATGCGTTTTCTGATAAAATGATGCATACAATCTACATCATTAAAATTATAAATACTTTTAGGTTTTGACATCAAATATCATATTGCACCCTTAGTAATATAAGGGTTCAAGCCAAAATTTTTAACACTGACAGAGAAAGAAAAAGTATAATAATTACTCGGTAAATATATTTATGGCTCTCCCTGCTTGTCTCCTGTTCTTAGTGCTACAAGGTCACAAGCAGTAACATGTAGATATTTCAAAACTGTGTTCTATTCGTATTTGTGCAAAAAACAGGTGTTTTGATTTAAAGTTTTTGTATTTTATAGAACAATTTGTTGTTGCGCCTTTACATTATACAAAATTTAGTAAACTTTTGGGTCTGATACATAATAGATTGTTACATTGCCAAAAAGTGAAAATGTTTATGTACAAGATGGGCTTAACTTGAATGTGTTTTTTCAATCACTTGTAATTTATGGAATTTATTTTTACTATAATTTTTTTTCATGGCTATTTATAGTATAGTTTACAAAGAATAAGTCTGCAAAATTTCACATTTATAACTTAAATACTAAGCATTTTATTAAAAAAAAAAACTGAAATGTAAGAACCCAGAATCTTTTAACACAACACCCAAAAAACTACTTTTTTTTGTAATATGCCTATATTTTACAAGGGTGCAATATTTGCTATTTCTACTCAGAATTAATCTTCTAACCAAGTTGCTGCCTACCTGGAAATGAACAAACGCATAGCCTGCTGGTTCTCCTGTAAATTTGTTTCTCATAACTTTTACCGCTAATGGCCGCTGTCCCATACGGTTGAATGCAGCCATAATAAAGCTTTCTGTCATGTTTGGCTCCAACTGGAAATAACAAGTTAAAAATATATTTGAAAATTGACACTTAACATAATATTAACATCTAAAATAAAAATAATAATAACTATTTACATAATACTCTAAAATACATGTAATTTTTTTATATTCAATTCTGCATGAAGAAGAATGATTCCTACCATTCCCTTTTGAAATTCACATAATACACCAAAATAATGTTTTTACTGACACCATAATAAGATGATATTTTCCAAAGGCTTCTTTTTTACAGTCTTGAATAACTACTGTTCAAAGAAGCACTGAACATTAACGGTTAGGTTAGTAAACTGGTGCTCATTGAGTTATTATCAAAAGAATTTAATCACAATACTTACACACTTAATTACTTAAAGCACATGATGAACACCGAATCGTTACTGATTGGCTTCATAGCACTCACTAGCAAGCACTCACATGAAAATTATTGCTACTTTTAAATCATATTCATGTGATGAAAGATTGGGTTAAGTCACAGCGATTTCACTTGTGATTGTGATTTAGTCATAGACACCATTAATGCCATTAAAATCAATCAAAATATTTTATTCAAGATAAAGTTAGATTCAGACCTGTCGCGAGTCTTGCGCTAGTGTAATAATAATAAGTTCCAGTGGTTTTGTAAATTAGTCACAGGTGCAATTAAATGATTTATAAATCATATGGTATATCACTAAAAATATGTAAAAGTAGGCAGGAAATGGCATGAAGAATAGTAATTAACTATTCACGGTATCATATTCTGAAGTAACTCAACTAGTTAGCTTTTCTATTAGCTTTCGAACCACAGAAGCGGTTCATTAAAAACACCTTACTATGTAGTATTTACATTTAAGTGTGCAGTATACCGTTTATTCGTTCTTCCTGGGGTTATACTTAAAAGCATAATCAAAAAATGTACTTACGCTCCCCATCCATAACTGGCATTGCATGGCCATTGTTTTGTTAAAATTAAGGAAATTTACGATTAGTTAATAACTTTTTTATTATATTTGATCAACTTCAAGTTTTGGTTAATGGCTTTGTGGTATATTTGATATCGAAATAACAAACAACAACGACACACCGTATTCGTGGGCATTTGACATCTGTCAGTGAGTGATGTCAAATTCCCACCCAGGCGTGTTGCCCTTTAAACAGTACCTAATCTTTTCCATAATTCCATATTGATCAAATCTTGACCCTGTCCCTCCAAGCACTTGTCTGGCATATCGTCCTGTACAGTTATTATCACAGGGTCTTATCACTTGCATCTGTGTCGTATTTTCATTCGATTCTCACGAACCGCGTCTTTCTTTAGTTTCTTACTAAACACACTACACTAGAAGTAATGTAAAACAATACTGAATTAAAATAAAAGGAAAAAGATTTTTTTTTGGCAATTCAGCAAATTATTTTCTGCGTCGATACATATGTTTAAACCCCGTTTTCCTCATGGACCAACTATGTACGCACAACTAGTTGTGCCATCCCAGAATATGTACTTAATGACACAACTATGCACAACTAAGCACAACTGATTTACTATTACCATTCCTTTTAGGACAACTACAGGAGGAAATAAATAATATTATTACATTAATATTATTAATTAATACAGAAAATTATAAATACCATTTCATGTCATTTACTATCAGTAATTATTTAAAAATTATTGATATATTATTTTCGTGCATACGCTGGCAAATATCCTGACTGTAAGCATGTCTATGTCTACGCCAGAAGACGAAGAACTTATATTCATCGATAATAAAGGTGGAAAGATTGCTTTATACAGCAACTATCAGTAACCATTTGGTTCGAAGGTACAAGAGTTGTGAGTCAATACTACGATGTTCTAAATATCGTAAAACTAATTGTCGAGGATGCATAACTATTCAGGTAAATTTGGATATTTATATAAAAGTAAGTTTAGGTTTTGTTCTGTAGTATATCTTCTAATAAAGTTTGTGTTATTGTTTTAGAACTCCAAAGTAATTCATTCTAGGCAGCATTCGTGCGTCGTTGATAAATCAAAAAATATTTATTTGAAAAAGATAGCTGCGATAAAAGATGCAGTAAGAAATTCTGACAAACCTATTCCTCAACTATATAAAGACAGCGTAGCAGATATGGTGGATATGGGACTAGATTTAGTAGATTCTGTTCCTCCTTTTTCTAGTATGAAGACTAGTCTGTATAAGGCTAGGAATGAGTCTGCTGGAGCGAATAAAACAGTATTTACGCGTCTTCAAGAAGTGGAAATTCCACTAAAGTTCAAAGATTTCGTTTTGGCTGAATATACATGTGACAACACCCGTATTTATATTTTTTGTACTCAAGAATCAAGACTTAATATCTACGGTAAAGGAAGCATTTATAGATTCAACTTTTAAAAGTTGTCCTAAACCGTTTGGACAATTATTAAGTATTCATGGCGATTTTGGTAGCACTACAGAAAAAATAGTTGTTCGGCCACTCATTTTTGCGCTCATGTCTAACAAAAAGGAGAGTAGTTATGTCGCTTTACTTAGCATTATTAAAATTCGAGTCGGGTGGAATATAACGAAAATTCATTGCGATTACGAAATTGCATTTATCAACGCGGTTACAAAGATGTTCCCAGAGATACAGATTGTAGGTTGCTACTACCACTGGATGCGCAATGTATGGAAAAAGGCCAGACAGCTTGGGCATCATACAAAAGTAGAAAATAGAATAATAGGAATGTGTGCTGCTTTGCCTCTATTGCCAGCGGATGCTGTAGTTGCAGGCTGGGCCTATATTAAATCCGATTATGAAAATACCAACTTGAAAATGGTCAATTTCATCAATTATATAGAGAGGTTTATGAAGAAGAGTAACTTTGTTCCCATAATGTCCGTGTTCGGAGAGCGTCACCGCACTAATAACGTTGTAGAGTCATGGCACTCTACCCTAAATAAACATCTAAACAAGAATAGACTGTGTTAAGACTACTAAATGTTCTCATAATGCTAGAGAAATACAATGTTGTTGCAAAAGATCTATGTTCAAGACTCCGGAAACATGAATATATTATTAAAGACGAATTTATTCACAACGTGTAACTTCAATACATTAATGGAGTAACATGAGGGCATGCACTAGATAAGATTAGATGAATCGAAATACAACTATTTCCAATTGGCTACCCAGCCATCTCACCTGGGAGTAGACCTCTTTTCGTTTTCTTTTTTTTAAATATCATTAGCATATGTATTTAGTATAATATATACCATAATAAATGCTTACGATAACCATAACGATGAATTTTTGTACACCGATTAAAATTAGTTATGTCTCTAGGAACTAATATTAATTGAAAATTATTTAGTTGTGCCAATAGGAATGATTTTAAAACAAAAATCCTTATGACACAACTAGTTGTGCATACATAGCTGGTCCATGAGGAAACAGCGGTTTAAACGTCATACTCTAAATTTTTATGTCAATTTTAATTTTATAGCAGCTATTCTTGGAATATTCATATATGAGTTATAAATGACCCATAATTTCTTCACACACATCATTATGACTTCATCAGCTTATCGCAGTCCACTGCTGGACATAGGCCTCTCCCATTGCACGCCGTTTAGGTTGATTTTGGGTTTCTCGCATCCAGCTCCTGCCAGCTATCTTGCGCAAATCGTCACTCGCCCGTGGGCGTCCTGCACTACGTTTACCGAGATGCGGTCTCCACTCTAGAACTCGTTTTCCGCATCAGCAACCTGAAGTGGCAGTGGGCTGGACGTGTTAGCCGCAGAACCGACAACATTATGACTTAACTGGTCTTAATTCTGGACTTAAATCTTTAGTAAAAGGCGAAAGATTTATACGTTTTGAAAGTAATAAAATAATATAAATTTATTATCTTATTTTATTGAAGAGAATGTTTCACCAGTTATTAAAAGTATTTTTCGGATTTGATTCTAAGAATGGAATGGAGATTTTTTACAGCCCACAACAGGTGAAACACACAACCCCGTGGATGGCCTCCTTGGCCGAAAACGACGGGGAGAACATGGATGATCTTCCACTCATCACGGATGCGAAGGTAGGAGCGGCTGTTCCACGGACCCATTCCAAGAACACCACCCCTGGACCAGACGGATTACCTGCCCGAGTACTGACCCTAGCCCGCCACCACATGTAGCACAAGCCGGTCCTTTTAACGAAGCCGAGACAGCCTGACAATTTGGTCGTGGCCTAAAGGCCCATCGTATTTCTGGACGAGGAGGGTAAGTTATGCTTCGACAACGCATTCAAAAGCCTATTGCTATTCAGCTACGTCAGGGGGCACTTCACTATTACGGTTTGCCAGAGTACCTGCGGCGGTAGTGCTACGGCTTCTTTTCAGGCATTAATAGCTATCAGCAGGGGCGGTTCGTGAATTTTTGGGGCCCTGGGTTACTTAGGTATTTTTTCCTTCAGATTACCAACGCCACGGAGTAGGAGTTAGGATTATGTAGTGTTTTCTCTAAAAATCCTGCTTTAGGCGCTTAACTCTGGGAGGACCTGGTCCATGTGATTTCAGGTCCCTCCCGCATTAACGCCGCGCACATTCCATGGCTGGTCCAGCCACGCGCCTTTCCGTCAGTGCCTGTAGGTACTGTCACCCACAAATACTGATTGAAGCACTCGCTTCGCCGCATCTCGAGCCCATCCTGCCACCCTGGCGGATAGCACGTATCTAGTCGTAGACCCTTATGTCCGTATCCGCCAGAATATGCAAAGGCAACAAAAATGCCAGGACTGTCACCATGTACGACGAAATGGTGCGGTATTTTCGTATGATCTGAATAGCCGCTACGCACCGCGCACTTGATTGAGCTGAGTTCGGCAGCGGGAGGAGGTCGATAGGCGCTTAGCCCATTTCATCACTCCGTAGAGAGCCATGGATCGTATCACCGCACAGTATAGGTGGTTTATGTCAACTAACGAGCTTTTTAAGCATTGTAACGATTTAGGTGTAGTACTTCAAGGTGAAAAAAAAAAAAGACGTGTGGCACTCGGGGACTGCCGCGGTAAAGCTATTGCATAGCATTTTGTATCAACTTATGCAATTATAATTATTTATTTATTTTATTTATGCAGTATTTCTTTTTATTTGATATTAATTCAAGTTACACTTTTTGAGCGTGGTGACCGATAAGAAAACATTTTTTTTTCTTTTATTAAATAAAAATACTGAAGCATACTTATATTACAATGTGTTTTTAAATAAATAAATAAAAAATATTATTATTAAATCAAATTACATATCCATGTAAGATTTTTCTGCATTATGTTGACGAAATTTCCTTTGACGTTGCATTTGATTTTGGTACTGTTTTTTGTTTTGTTTTTATCGTGAGGTTTTTTTTCGTTACGGAATTTCTGGATTCGGTCCCCGCGCTCAAGGCCCTCGATAGAAGCTATGCAATAGCTTAAAAAGCAAGGACATAGAATTTTATTATAAAGACGTATCTGACATACCTGTAAGTACAGCTGCCGCAGGAAGAAGTATTTCTAAGTTAAAAATGATTAAAAACTACTTAAGAAACAGTATCAAGTAGGACCGACTGCCTGCTTTAGAAATAATTTCAATCGAAGCTGATTTAGTTGCAAAAAATTATAACAAGTCTACCAGAGGACTTTAGGAAAGCAAAAAGCTGAAGAAATTACTTTGGTAAAAATTAAATGCTTTTCTGGTAAAATTAAATATTCTGCCATAGACCATTTTTTTTCACTATCATGAGTATGTAGGTATGTCGTGTCAAAGCACGTTTGGTAAAATAGATGTATTGGACACCTATATCACGGTACAATAATAATACAGTAGTGTAACTCGGCCGCATGATAGAAATAAATGCCTACAGCCGCGCGGTACGTAAACATGCGTTAGGGCTGCCCGTCTCCAGCATTTTAATTATATTTGCCTACTTTCTGTTTCTATTTAGATTTGTGATTGTAAATATCCTTTATATATAAATATATGAAATACTTTGTATATTGAATAGGAAGTGTTCAATAAAAATGCGTGTTGTTTTTTGATTGGTAGATTTAATTAAAAAAACATGTTTTTGTTTGAAAAACAAATCGGGCTTATAAATTTGCGACCGAAAAAAATCTTTCTATAAAATAAAATAAATGTGCTTTCTCCTTACGCGTTACAAAACTCCAATCCTTAGAAACTCCAACACCTACCTACTGAACTAGAATGCAAGAAACAGCTGACGAGTAAGTAACTTTTTATGTCAGCTTTTAACGTCTCTATAAATTAGGTACCTACCTACAACTCGCAACAACTCAAAACAAAAATTCTTTGGTCACCAATTAATTATTAAAAAGCTGAACAGCTGACTACGAATGTTTTAAAATCACAGCTCTAGCTGTTGTTGTTAATACCGAGAAAATAAAACCAGTTTTTAGTGGTATATGTTGTTATAGTAGCAGCAGAAACACTTTGTGAAAATTTCGAAAACTGTCTAATGACACACAGACGGTAAAAATTTTTTTTTGTATTATTCATACACAGATAATAAACAATTATTATCTATACTAATATTATAAAGCTGAAGAGTTTGTTTGTTTGTTTGTTTGTTTGTTTGTTTGAACGCGCTAATCTCAGGAACTACTGGTCCGATTTAAAAAATTCTTTCAGTGTTAGATAGCCCATTTATCGAGGAAGGCTATAGGCTATATATCATTACGCTAAGACCAATAGGAGCGGAGCACCAATGAAGAATGTTTCAAAAACGGAGAAAATTTATTACTATTGAGAGACGCAGACGAAGTAGCGCGGGTCAGCTAGTTAATAATAAAATACCACGTCTTTACTTTGAATTATGCAAAGTAACAAAACACACATGCACCGAAGTTTTAACACAAGCGTAAGTAGGTAGGTACCTACCGTATCATGATTCATTCAGAACCGCATATAACTCCCTATTTCACTCGTCTCAATAACTTTCCGTTACTCTATTTGCTTTATTCATTAATCCAAACACCTTTTTTTTCGTGAGATAAAAGGAAATACTTATCCATTAAAAAGACACACATTATGTATCTACCTACTAGTTAGTAAAATTATTTTATAGTCTTTCCTTTCAGAGTTTCCAGGTAATTTAAAGAAACTTATGTCTGGATGCGTTATTGACGAATTCATACAACCAAAAACAGCACAATATTTCCTACTCGTCATATTAACTGATTTTTAGAGAAAAAATCGCGCGGTTATTGTTAAAAAAACAACACACAGTCCGTTCGACACTGCGGTACAGCCGTGACTGTCTGCGCCCCGAGCGCACCCCGAGATCGAGGCGCGTAGGTATAGCTCGCGTTTCGTCCGTTTGTATGAAGTTGGAGTACTGTATTATAATAGTACCGTGCCTATATCGTAGGAACGAAAAAATAATAATTTACAACAAAAGTTAATTTGTAAAAAATATATTTCTTAAAGTATTCTCGTATTATTAATGCTAGGTGTATCGTAGTGTTACCTTGGCTGACACCGACTCCAAAAATAACAATCATTGTAACTACACTATATTATCGTAATAATTTGATTGACTTTTAAGTAGTCTAATATTTTTCATTTCATTTTACTTAGAACTCTAAAATATATTATGATCGTTGTTTGTTATTCATAGGTATATGTTAAGTTAGATTTGAAATGGGTAGGTATCTACCTACCTTCTTGCGTGGTAAACACATATATCGTACCTTCATATTGATGAGTAGAAAAAGTAAGTTGATTTTTAAGTTGTAGAAGAATACGCATTTATTTTTTACTTTTTAGTGCATATTAATTTGTTTTGGAATAATGTTTTTAAGTCGGTTTTTTTTTGTAAAAATTATTATTTATTTTTTGATTTTTAGTGAATCTGAAGTATACTTACTAATTTGTCTGAAAATGGGTAGACCTAATAAACGTGCTGCTCATATGAGACAGCGCTGTTTGAATGAAACAAACGAATGAAAGTCAGGGAGAAACGCCTATCTCAACAGAGGCAATCTACCTCAAAAACAATTTCAAAAGAGACTTGCGAAGAGCGCAAAAATAGACTTTCGAAACTGCGGCTTTACATGAAAAAGGATTTGAACAGGGAAAATATTGAAAAACGTAATCACCGTCTCGGCTTGATCAACGATCGTCGGACAACACTAGGATGCGTGTAAGAAATAGACCGGCAGTATTACGTAACCGCTATTATACAATGAATAGTGACAATGCATCAAAGACCGTAATCGCACCCTAACTGTAAGCCGTTAAGGAGTTCCATTGATCATTATATTCGACTACGACAATTACTTCCGTTACTGTCCGTTACTGTCCCTGTAGTGACAGATTGAGAATACAGAATGTCACCACCCTTTTCATCCTATTTGTGTCGTAAGAGTCGACTTAGGGAGCAAACTACGCTATACAACAGCACTGCAAAGAGATGGAAAACTTGAAACAAACCCTATACCAACGCGTCTGGCCAGCGTGGTATAGTAGGCCAAAACCTTATTTCTAATATATCCAAATATCCGGATAGCCTATAAAAGATTCAGCCGGGTATCGTTAATTTGCTAATAAGAATTGAAGAGTTCCGTTACTTTGTCATGGATCCCATGATCAGAATCTAACCAAACTCTCATCAAAGTACCCTTAAAGTACATCTATTCCAACAATAAAAGAATAATCGAAATCGGTTGGCGTGATATTGAGTTATTCGTCTGTTTGTCGCGAACATACTGAATGCAAATTTAAGATGGTTTTTTCATGGATGCCATTATCAGAACTAAACCAAATTGAAATGAAAAAAAAGGGAAGCACCAGCTTTCAAATATTTTTTTTTTTTATTGAAATCGGTTCACCTAGTCAAAAGTTCTGAGGTAACAAACATAAAAAAAGAACAGTCGAATTGAGAACCTCCTTCTTTTTTTGAAGTCGGTTAAAAAGGGCCCTCACTGATGTGACTTTTCCCACGTCTTTATTAGTCCACGATACGCCCCTGTCTAAATAATGAAAACATTTGGTATTTTATTAAAAATATTAGAGAATAAAACAAAAAAGACTTGAAATGTACTGTAACGACTCCTACCTCAAAGGCTGGCAACGAGCTTGTGACTCTTGAGTATGAAGGGTAGAGGCAAGGATAACCAACTCTGTGTATGAAAAGTGTCCGTGAAAATGTGTTAAATTGGGGGCGCATAAGGATATTATTTTAAAGAAAGCGCCAAAAGTTGTTAGAGTAGGATAGAGATACAAACATTGAAAGAAAAATATTCTGAAAAATGTATATTGGCTCAAGTAATAATTAGCCACTGTGTCCTAGACTGCGAAAAAAATCAATAATTTTCAAACAGCTATGTTCATATCGTAGTTTTTCGTAGTTCAACGACCTCTATTTTCAGTATACAGCTGGATACTTTTTCAACTTTCCTCCCATTCTCCTTGCCTGTACTCTCCATACTCCTGAGTTGCAAATTTCAGTACAGTTTACATCGTACTCTGACGTTGCAGGCGTGCATGGACGGCGGTAGTAGCATGCTATATTATACTAATCTATAGTAGTAGTCATTTTCCATCAGGCGACCCGTACGCTCGTTTGCTCATTTAAAAAAATCAGGAGTTTTATAATCCAAAATATGAAATTTTGACCATATCACTTTCGGTAAAATTTAGAATTTGTAAAGGGAAAAATAAACCAATAATCATTCTAGCCTGATTAAAAAATTACAGACAAATAAGAAAAAAGTTGTTTTTGCGATTAACAGACTTGTCAGTTAAAATGCAGATTATAAAATACTGAAGTTAGGACTGAACTAAGCTTTTGTGTTTACTCTTTTTTTTTAATTATCGACTATTTCGACTAATTTACCATATTGACCATTTTTGAAAGAATTTATTATAATATTGAAATTCGTATCAATACAATTTATGATCCATTTCTTCATAATAATAGTTTTTAAATTGTAATAATACTATTAAATTCTAGTTAGATGTGTATATAGATTATGAAATGACGTGTGGTCGACTGAGAGACCAGACGTCATCATCATCATCAAGCCAAATTAAAATCAAATCAAGCTAATCCGACAGGGGAAAAGTGTAGCGTAGATATAAGTGGCGAAGATAAAGGCATGGTTTGCTACAATATATAATTACTTAAAGTGCAGGCAGTGATGGTTTATATAGGAATTTAATATTTGATGTATGAACGCCACATAATTAAGAGGTAACGGATTAACAAATATTATCTTGTCATTGTTACATTCAGATCAATATTATCACAAGCATGTCACGTCTTGATAACATGGACGCATTAGAAAAGCAATTAGCCGATCTTCAAATGTCTAAAGATTTAAATAACACAGGAAAGGTAAAAAAGATACCACCTGCTGTGCCACCAAAAAAGAAGGCACAGCCACAAGTACCACACAGTGCTGTCGTAAGTGCAATAAGGGAGCCTTCTTATTCTGCAATGATAATGCCTACTTCAAACTATAATAATAACAGCAACACATATAGTAATACCCTCCCGAGCCATGGTCATCCTGTGCACAAAGATTATGCAAATGTAAATCAATTGAATTTGGCAACATTTAATCATGCTTATAGGAAAAATTTACCTACACCATCAAAGAGTTATAATGCCACATATAGTAATATAGCACCATACAGAAATAATGATAACCTACCTACATTGCCACAACCACCACCGCCTCCACCACCACCCCTGCCGCCATCAATTTCAATATCATCATCAAAACCATATAATGCCAATCAAACAAGTGATGAATTTTTACCACCACCATCACCTGTGAGCTCTAACTATAGTGAATTGGTACGAGCAACAGCCAATTTGAATTATAATCAAGAGAGGCAATCTTATCCACCAATATATCAAAATGACTTTCCTGAATATGGAGTGTCACAGTCTTCAACATATGAGTCACTCTATGAGCCTATTAACCCACGCCCGCATAGCAATGTGTCATCTCAAGCTAATTCTGTTCATAATTACCGGAGCAACTTACCTAACCCTAGTAAGTCACCGCTTCAAAAGGAAGAAGAAGTTGATGCACTTACCAATCTTCTTGTTAAGTCTATCTCTGATAGCCAGGATTTGGATGTTTTTGGAATGTGTATTAAATGTAATGGAAAGGTAGTAGGTGAGAGTTCTGGCTGCACTGCTATGGGAAATATGTACCATGTGACATGCTTTTGTTGCCATTATTGCAATGTTAACTTGCAAGGGAAACCTTTCTATGCTGTGGAAGGTCAGCCATACTGTGAAGTGGATTATTATGAAACCTTAGAGAAATGTTCAGTATGCACTCAACCCATCCTGGATAGGATTTTACGAGCTACTGGTAAACCATACCACCCTAATTGTTTTACTTGTGTGGTATGTGGTAAAAGCCTTGATGGAATACCATTTACGGTAGATGCTATGAACCAAATTCATTGTATTGAGGATTTCCATAAAAAATTTGCTCCTCGTTGTTGTGTTTGTGAACTGCCAATTATGCCTGAAGATGGTGAAGAAGAGACTGTTAGAGTTGTGGCATTGGATAGAAGCTTCCATGTCAGATGTTACAGGTGTGAGGACTGCGGGCTACTACTATCCTCAGAGTCAGAAGGCCGAGGGTGTTACCCTCTCGATGACCATATCCTATGTCGTAACTGCAATGCTCACCGCATACGTCTCTTAACAAATGTTATGACAACAGACCTTTGAAATTGATTGTAAGTTATCAAACTTTAATTCTTTAAAAACGTAATTTGATCCATATTCATAATATGCTGTAATTATGTACATTCAGCTTGTAGCCTTATATATATATATATATATATATATATATATATATATATATATATATATATATATATATATATATATATTTGTACAACTTAATTGTGAAATATACAACTTTTTATATTGTATTTATAATTAGTTTGTATAAAAGTTTTTTATTAATTTTATTTTCTAGTTTGAGTAGATTGTAGTTATTCCTATATGAGCCATTGTATTTTTTAAGAAGACTGTTAAATAAGAGGAATATTTTGTCAATTTTATGATAATGTTATTATTATTAAAAGTAATTTAATTGGTTTGTAATGATGACCAGATCATGTGATAATGGAGACAATATTTTGTATATTTACTATTTATTAAGCATTATGAATGCTATAAAATTCTTTCAAATAGTTATATTCACATAATTACATTTCTAGATTACTTTTATAGCAGCTACTATATTTATGAAAATAAAGATATTACAAAAATAGTTTGTTATATAACTTATTTTAATAAAAACTGCACATCTTTTTTTATTTATAACATTTATTAAGTATACTCAATAAGTTTAATTCTAAAAATATTGTATAACTAATATCATGCACAATACTGGCTTAGTAATATGTAGGCAAGTTCTTGATAAGTTCTAAAAAAATATCAAATATATCACAAATATATTTCAAGTATACAATTGACATTTTAGTGTAAAAGTTTTGTTTTATGTAATTGTATTTATGATGTTAATAATATCACATTATGGAAGACTAATTAATTAGCATTAAAGTACTACAATCTATATACAATAAAAATCTTAACATCACAAGAAAACATTCAAAGTTAGTGGCAAAATTATTTGTTGTAATATATGACTACACTCATTTTGAGATCCATGTTAATGTTGACTTCTTTCGGGTGTTTAACAAATTTACAATTAGCTAGGAACTTAATATCCACATTCAAAGTAACTTACACTTTATGTCTAAGTTTAGTATTAAATTTAGGTGGGCTTAAGACTTGTTTCATGAATAATGATCGTTTTTCTTTAATATTTCTTGACATTATCAAATCACAACCAGTGGCTGCCTCTAAATTTTCATTGCTTTCAAAGGAAGAATTGCAGTACTTATACTTTTGAGGATTAGTGCCTACAACTTCATCTAGAGAGAACTTACTGTTCATATCAACTGTATTATGGTCCACCGGAGGTTGGCTAATATCACAAGAACCATATAATATTTCTTCATCAGAGTTAAGATTAGGTCTGGGTTCAAACCTATCTCTTAAAATAGAAAATTTACGCCTGGGTCTACTTCTTGTAGCCTTTTTTACGTTAGACATTTTCGACATTGAAGCATTTACTACCGCCATGTCTGTATCTTTTTGAATTAGTGACTGTAAAGATGAGGATATTTTATTTGAAGTACAGTCCTCATTTGAACTAGGAGGGGCGGAGTTTTCTGAAACTAACTGCCATAGAAAATCGATATCTTTATTAGAAAGGTCATGTTGATTTTGGTCAGGTTTCACGTTTATTCTCATGTTCTGGAGTCTAATAGCATTAGGATTCGACCTTTGACGTCTTCGGGTATTTGTATTTTTATTATAAGTTATGACATTTTCAATACAGTGACTATCTACTGATATGGATGAAGTGTCTATGATATTGAATTCCCTTTTATTCATTTCAAATTTTGTCCTATGAGACAAGTTCATACTATTTTCCTTTTCTGGCAAACAATCCATAATATTGCCCTCGAATTTAGAGGGCTCCTTCCATAAAGCTTGTTTCAAACTAGTATCAAGTTTTGTCGATGTATTAAACTGAGGGGAATCCCATAAATGTTCACGTCTATGATATAAATTTCTTGGAGAGTTTGTGGCAGTTGATTTACGTATTTCGTCTATAGTGGCTACGAGGGAACTTTCTGAATTAAGTCTCTTCTTACTTGATGGCTCTATGTCTCCTAAATCATCTAATTCTTCCATTATAGGTTCTAAATGATTTGGATCCTTACTACCATCTACCACACATGGTTTTGCTAAGAAAGTGTCGTCATGGGTAACTAACGTGTTAGTATAATCATCTTGATTTGTCCTGTCAAACTTTACAAAAACATTTGAGTAAGTGTGAGGTTTCTTTGGAAAGGGTGGAGCAGATAAAATGGCATTTTTGAGATCCTGTGATACACAACTACTTATTTCAGAACTGCCTGAGGTTAGAGTATCCCTTCTTCGATCTCTTACTACACTTCCATCGTGAAGCCAGTTTTCAATATCTGAATACCCGTTCCACGATCGTAGACCCCATGCTTCTCTGGCAATATTTACGGCACAAATATTCTCATAATCATGAACTGATAAAACTTCAGTGGGTGTATCAAGTTCACGTGGTTTGGATGGAAACAGATCAGTTCCTATTCCATTTTTGTTTTTGTCCTTTTTGGCATACATTTCTTTCAAAATATCTAAAGCTATTCTTTGAATGTTCTCAATGTCGGCGTCTTGGTTTCCCACTTTGATGTTTTTAAGGGCACTCAAACATAACTTTTGAACAATATTTTCGTTAAAGGTATTTATATCAGAGCTATTGATATCACTGAAACTTAAATCTAGATCCATATCAATAGAGTCTGATGAGGTTTTTTTATTAGAACCATCAGTATCATGGCTGATTTCAGAGCTATCAGTTTTAATACACTTCATGAAATCTTCGTTGACGGCATTGCAAACATCTAGCTTAATGTTCGTTAAGTCATCTTTTAGAATATCTGAGGAACATATTCCTCTCCGTTTATGCAGATTTAAATTACTAGATGTTATTTCATCAATTGAACTCTCTAAGCTGTCTATAGACGTTAACTTCAATGCTAATTCAGTAGGAAAACATATCAATTTCTTTTTGTTATTTTTGTGTCTGTAGTCTTCATCCTGCATGATAGTCTGTGGGGTATTTTCAACAGTGTAGAATTCGACACTAGAAATGTCCATACTATTGTTACCAATGGGTGCTGATGTAAATGTAGGAGATCCCGACCTGGCAATCCAGTGATCTAATAAAAACTTTTTGTCAGCGTTTTCATTTCCTTGTTTGGGGATGGGTCCTGTTACTATTTCTTTCCTGAAAACATAGTTTAGCGTTTATAGATACTACATTTTTATTCTTAATTATTGATTACTTTAAAGGAAAATTTGAAACATACCCAGGGCTAATATTAGCACCTTCATCTTGCCGCGAACTTTTGAAGGACCGTACATGATTCAAACCATGATCTTTGTTATTACTGGATTCACTAAATGATACTTTATTATTTAACTCGATGTCATTTGGAGTATTTTTCCACAAAATTGGTCCAGTTGAGTGAAAATATCTATAATATAAGATCATTGCAGAAATTCCTGAAAAATAGTTCTTTTTAAGTACTGTAAAGTACGTTTTATTTTTCAAACGTTCTTAAACCGAAATCGGTCAGTTTCGTCAGAAAGTTACTTACCAAATATTGTCCCAAATATAATACATATAACTGCAGTAATGGACCACGGCTTTCTCTGTCGCTCATTATCAGACATTAATACATATAAGAACAAACTTCCAAAATTTTGCAATACTATTAGTGTATAGAATAACATTAAACGATACCGTGTGTGGCCTTCTCGTAAGTTTATATAACAAAAACAATACACAAAGCCCATAACAACGTTATAAAGGGTCTCTTCTATTTTATTTGGACAAAATGTGGTCTTCTGCATCACAATCCAAAATGTCATAGCAGACCAATGTAAACCTGGAAAAATAAATCACTTTAAATCATGGTTTGTTATGAAACTAGTGTAATATTATTAAATTTAAAAAATCTTACCCAATGGCACTAGCGTCCAAACCCCGAATATTATAGCAAACAACAAGATTCCCGGTATTCTTCCTATTAGTATACCGAAATGCCATATAAGCTTCAACATTAAGGAGTACCATTTAAAATTTTCACTTGCAAATACAGTGATACTGTACATATACGTAGAACACCCCCAAATAACGGAAGCAAGGGAAGCAGTTAACGCAAATACTGAAAAGTAATTTACTGTTAGAACATTTCTAAAAGTTTACGATTTGTTTTTACTTAATTGGCATACAAAAAAAAGAAAAGACGCACCGCAGCACTAATAAACTATTAGTGTGAATCGGGAGAGAAAAACAAGCACTACAATAGTAATGCTATGCAACTGCAGTCTTCTGTAAGGTATGTTCACTCATGTGATATCTTATATATATATAAATATATCCATGCTATTGTAGGGTGTTTTTAAAAAGCTGAAGCTCAATTTGAACTTCACTCAAGTTACGACACGATGACTAAAAACATTATGTCTTAGAATATAATTATTTACCTAAATAAAAAAAGGCTACTTAACACCTAGCCAGTTTGGTGAAGGCGGCGAATAAAGCTTTTTTGGGCATGATTTTGAAGAGTGCTTTGTTTTGCAGTCTAAAACGAACGCCTTATAAGCAACAGTAAACAAATTCCTTGCTTTACTGTACTCGAGAGACTGTTATGTAAAAAAAAGTAAATATAAACACTGTTCAAATAATAGATAATTACCTTTTGTGTAATAATTTTCATCGAGCGTAACAACTGCGTAAGTTTGCAGTATAATTTGTGGCACAGTCCCAATAAAAACATACAAAAAGTGTAACAAACTTAAATCATTTCTTTGTGAAATTAATTTATTTGTTTTGATCGTTTCTAAGTTCTTGCACACAAATACTTTCCGTAAAAATAAAAAATGTCTGAAAGAAAACGTTACAAAAACTTATTAAGACTATTGAATTTCAAGAATTTTAATTTGAAATTTTATTTACAGCATTAAATTTTGTCATACCTTTCTAATAAGCCCACGAGACATATATGTGTTATCCAATGCCGTAAAGTAGATTTTTGATCAGTTAAAAACCATCTCATAGAGAATACGTTAATTAAAATATTTGGAGTAACTATAAATATCAAAGTTCCAAGGGCCCAATAAAGATGACCATCTTTGCAGTATTCTGCAAAAACGATGATATCTGAAAAAATAAACTACAAAGTTTACAAAAGATGTTATAAACCAAAATAATAAAATTTAACGAAATTATTTAGGTTAATTTGTTTCGATATTTATACATACCTGTAGTTAAATCGGCTAATATAGTAACAAGTGATATAAAAACACACAATACATGAAATATACAAAAGTTTTCATCTTGATTATTCGAGGTTTTACTTTCTATGTTTTGATTCCGAAACCTACAAGCCTCCGCCATTCTAAAATCTCATAAATTCATTATTTAGTCATTTATATATAATAAACACGTAGTCTTCAATTAAAATTCATGATTCGGTATCAATGTTAATTCAGAATCTTTCGTTATTTTTGTCGAAGAGAAGCATTACAATATCAAGACTTAAACGTCAGATCTAACAAACCAATACAATCAATACAAGCTGCGAACTGTTGAAGAAAGCTCCGCAGCGTGGGCGCATTACATTAACTTTTTTTTTTTCACAAATCGCATGCATACACACGCCAATAGAGAGCAACTAAATAAGTCAACTAAGTATTCATTAAAAAAAATGAGTATCAAAGTATTATAGTTAACTCCTAATAACAAAAAATTACAGAAATAGATAAATGTAGAATATGTTTATTTTTTCAAGAGAAGTTTATTTAATAATTCAAATGTGTGTAATCGACTAAATGAATAAATAGTTTCTGTAGCGTTACAAAGATTGCTGAAGTTCTACACTATTTTAAAGATATTTGAAAAATGACAATAGGTATTTATTTGGCTTGTTTGTTTGAAAGTTTCGAAGTGTATTGATTAACTGATATAAATTTTAATACCAGTATAAACTTTAGTTTTTGTATGTAAAATGATCCACGACGCTTTACTAATATTATGGGATTGTTCTCAAATTAAAACCACCGGACGAGAAGTAAGTATACTTGTTTGAGTATTTATAATTCGTTTCTAAAATAACATTATTTCTTTTATGTTAGAATACATTTACCGGGACATGCACATTTGCAGGCAATAATAGTTTTTTAATTTAATTTCAAAATAAAATATTTTGTATCGAAATTGCAGCTTTTCCTTCTTTTAACCAAAGCTGCTTACGTCTATGAGCGAACTTTAAAGTTGTGTCACCGAAAGCGTTTCTCATGTCTTCATGGTACACATACACAAAGTTTTTGTTCCATATTCTTATAGATGCAAAACAAAAATCTGGACTTCAGGTTCTCTTCTTTCGTAACTTTTTTCTTGTGTGATACATAATGAAGACATAACATAAAATGCAATAGAAGTAAGTTGCCAGAACACTTAAGACAGCAGTTACTTTTTTGTTTTAGAATTGTTTCATAATTATTTCAATTTTAGAACAATGGAATTGCATATGCTGGGCAAGGTGACGCTGAAATATTTGCAAGAATAAATATAATAGCTCAGAATCATCACCGGATTCAGTGTTTTGTGGAAGGCAATGGATTTCAAGCCAGAAAAACAAAAACAGGTATCATTTTGCCCTTAAGTTATAAATATATATATATATATAAAAAAAAAATATAGCAAAGGTAACTTTAATTCAATTTGTACTTCTTGTTACTCTAGAAATACTCAGTTTTATGTTAAAATTTATATATTATTATAAGTTCACTCTTACTGTTTTCAGCATCAGGTCTTAAAATGTGTGGTTTGTATTCACAAGCTTTAAGTGAAGGTATATCTGAAGTATTACAATCATACAAGAAAACACTTATGGAGGTTGAAAGTCTTGTTATAGGCAATCATAATTATACTCTATCATTTGTATATAGTTATGTCGAAGGCTTTCAAGGCTTGTTCCACACATTAAATAAGATCATAACGACTATTGAAGAAAGAAAGAGGTTTGGATGTCAGATATTGAGCTTGCTGCATCAGTATATACTGACAGGTGATCAAAAAGTGCATGATGCCATTTTGAGGTAACTATTATAAGTATATTTATCTTTGGTAGAGGGCAAACATTTTGTCACCTGTCACCACATAGAAAAAGAATATTTTTGTATATTTTATTTTAGGCATCATTATATTTTATGAGTAAATTGTTAGGCATAAGTTTTCCCCAAGATTAACCTTTCGCCACTAAAACATTTACTTCATTAAAGCATATTCTTAAACTGCCCTCATATACAATCCTTTTTATTTTTAGAGTATTTGCCTATATCAACAAAGTATTTGTGAATCAACTGTGTACATGGCTGCTCTACGGCGAGCTAATGGACCCTTACCACGAATTCTTTGTAGTGAGCCAAGGCCACGACATTTCAGACACATACTTGTCTACACCTTCTACAACAACATGTGATAAATCTCTTGTATCAACAGTGAGTAAACTAAACCTCTTCATAAATCACCGATTTAATTTGAGTTTCTCCTCTTCAGACAGACAGAAATCCGGGAGCACTTTATTGTATATCAATTAGAAGGGTAATGACCCTGAGGTCCAGCTTCTAGTTGAGATGAGTTAAGGGTTACAATAATTTATTTATTTTGTTTTTCAGCTGCAAGAGACAACCTTGGAAAGTGGTTACATACTTAATGCCAATATGATACCATATTTTGTACCTCTTTCACTGGCCCAAGAAATCCTATTTATTGGAAGAACTGTTATTCTATTTGGTGTTGATCCTAAGAAGATGAAGAAGAATAATTCCATTGTTCTTAATAGGACTTTGATGCCTTTACAGAAGTGTGGTATTGATTCAAGAAGGTAAATTTTAAATGCATCTACTTCCAAACCTAGTTATGATTGGTCTGTTGGTCTAATAGTTAGTGACCCTGACTGCTAAGCCAGAGGTCATGGGTATGATTCCTACCCAGGACATAATTAAATGATGAGTATGATCATTTCTTCTGTGTCTGGGTGTAATTTGTCTATAATATGTATGTATTTAGAAATATGTAAGTATGGTTATCTGCAGTTTTGTTGGCTGTCTAGTTTGGAATCAGACAATCGGGTGTGAGATGGCTGAATTTATAAAACAAAATCTTAACTATGAAGAATTTTCAGACTGCATCCAAAATGGTGCAGTTATGATATCAGTGAAGTGTAACATATACATTAGATTATACTATAGGAGAAGGACCAGACTTTCCGATTATAACAGGTGGGCCAAAAGAAATCACCCTATTGGAAGATGCTCTTATTTTTGCAAATGGCGGCCAATGTCAAATCTGTTTTGACATTTGTAAACTAGACAGAAGTAGAATACAAGTGAACAAGCCATGGAGCGATACACTCACCAAGAACGCGGCACAATCGTGTCTATTTTTTTGCGTAACAATTCGTCTGTGGTGTTGGCGCAGCGCGAATTCCGTCGCCGATTCCCCGGTCGTCCGGCACCGACTGCGCAAACACTGCGCCGTTTGGCCACCAACCTTGAAGAGTATGGAACCACACGAGACGCTGCCAAGAGTGGCCGGCCTCGGAGCGCCCGTTCTGCCGAGAATATCGCCGCTGTTGCCGAGGATGTCGAGCTGTCGCCAGAAACATCGACCAGACGCCGTGCCTCGCAATTAGCCATCAGCCGTTCGTCCCTAAGGCGAATTTTGGTCAAAGACCTGCGCATGTTCCCGTACAAAGTCCAGTCCGTGCATCACCTGCTGCCTGTCGACCGCCAAACGCGTGTAACCTACGCCCAAGCCATCCTCAATCTCGAGGACGAAGTGGACGATTTTTCGACCAAAATCATAATGAGCGATGAGGCTCATTTCCACCTCAACGGGTACGTGAACAAGCAAAACTATCGCTTCTGGGGCACCGAAAATCCACGAGTGATGCACGAAGAGCCATTACACCCACTCAAAGTGACTGCATGGTGCGCTGTTCACGCTGGAGGAGTCATCGGGCCATTTTTTTTCGAGGACGCCGCTGGTCAAACGACAACAGTGGACGGTGCGCGCTATAGGGCCATGTTAACAGAGTTTTTTCTGCTGCAATTGAACGAATTAGGACTGGAGGACATGTGGTTCCAACAGGATGGAGCAACGGCACACACTGCGCGAGCCACAACCGATATTCTGAAGACGGCGTTCCCGGGTCGCCTCATCTCTCGTTTTGGCGATTTGCACTGGCCCGCAAGATCGCCCGATTTAACCGTTCCAGACTTTTTTTGTGGGGTTTTTTGAAGTCCCGTGTTTACGTGCACAAGCCCGAGACCCTGGAAGCCCTCAAGGACAATGGAGTGAAAGGAGTGCAAGAATCTGTCGCCCGAAGTTCTCGCCGAAGTGATGAAAAATGCCATAAAACGAGCCCGTATAGCAATCAATTGTGGCGGCGCCCATTTGACCGATATCATCTTTTCGACTTGACCAATAAAATTCAAGTTCAAATAAACATAATCAAAAAACAGAATTGAAGTTTTTTATTCAGAAAAAAAATGAGAGCCAAACAATATCGGATGACGTCTTTTGGCCCACCTTGTACTAGGTTCAAGTTGTGCTGCACTAGTTATTGCTTATATTCCAATTCGTATCAGCAATATCCCTTTTCTATTTTTTTTTACCTACCGTTTTTTCTCTTGATTTTACTTCCAACTATCTCATCTAATTCCTAAAGTGCCGGGTTGACAGCAATGCTTGCATGTTATAAAAGTGATATTAAAATTATAGTCCACAATATGTGGGCGCTACGCCCCCCTTCGGTTATATAGTGTATGTATGTACGTATTCATCATCATCATCATCAATAATAATCCACTACTGGACATAGGCCTCTACCTAAAAAGGAGGGTTTGGCCTACTATACCATGCTGGCCAGACAGGTTGGTATAGGGTTTGTTTCAAGTTTTCCTTCTCTTTGCAGGGTTGTTGTCCTGCGTAGTTTGCTCTCTTGGTCGGCTAAGGGGTGAATAGGAGTGGTGACTCTCTTTCTTTGATTTGATTCCTAATCGGTCACCAGAGGGACAGGATGCACTGGGGATTTTTATAAATTTTAGCTATTTTAAGAATATATTTTGATTTAATTCTTAGGTTTACGATTTGGGAAGATAAAGAGGCTCAATTTCATGAGAAGTTGCAAAAACTAAAGAGCCCTGAAGTATTCGAAGTTTGTAATCTACGAAGAGTCATCAGAGAAATAAAACAATGTGTCACTAAGGTATGTTTACCAACTTACAATGTAACAGTCTAATAGTAAAAATGTGTGACAACATGTGGTAAATTGCCAGCCTTTTGTGTAATTATGTTAATACGCGGGAATTAACTCGGTAGTAACAGATAATACATACCTTCGACCAGCTAACATTGTACGTGGTCACAGACTGACTAGCTTACTAGTGCACACCGTAGTCGTCGAATCGTTGAGGTAACCGGTTATTCATCTACCCGCACATTTTTAATACTTTTGTATTTTCTCCTCACCATGTACCGTCATATGTCCTAATTAGGATGTATATCCAGTCGTTCAGAAAAGCGAGGTAGCGAATATTTGTATGTAAAACGAACAGAAAGTTTTACTTACTGTCTGTACTTAAATATGTTCAGGTTAATCTTCAGACAAGCTGAAGCATAAAATTCCAATGTGTTTTTTTATCTATCATTTTATATTGTTTTTTTCATAACCAAATTTAGTAATAAACGAAATAGATTACAGAACTCAATTAGAAAGCTATGATCCAATAATACATGCAGTGTGCATGTCACACATTAGTTTTGATAAAAACATTGTTTATATTGCTGTCAGCATTTATGGACAGTGGCAGTAGAAGAAGCTCAATTGATCCATGAACTGAAACTTATGAAAGACTTCTACCTTCTTGGTCGCGGTGAATTGTTCTTGGAGCTATTAAGATTAACAGCGCACATGCTGGACAAGCCTACCGCCAGGACTTCAACGAGAGGTATATGATCTTTACTAGTTTAAACTCCCTTGTGATCTGAATGATTGAGCTTTTGAGACAGAAACAAGAGTTACTTTGTACATACTGCATATCACAATTGAATTAGTTACAAAACCCTATAAGGGAACGTACCCAAATTACGTGACCTACCTCCTCGGTGACCACCAGTATACGCCAAAATGACGCTGCGCGATACAATTCTCAGGTCATGGAAATTGCGGTACAAATAGTAAAGTGAATTAAATAAATTAAAAATAATAGTTATAACAATTCTTTATTCACCAAAATCAGAAATACAATATTTTCTATCTTTAAATTAAATTGAAAATATAATCTAACTTATTCTTCTTTTATAAAATTATTAAATATTATTAAATTAATGAATTATATTTCTTTGCAAAGTATTATTTAAAGTTTAACATTTGATTAATGTTCCAGATATGAATCATGCCTTCCAACTCGCTACGCGAGCCGTCTTCCTAAGTAACAATGCAGACATAGAAAAGTTTAGTTTTGAACTACCCTACGTAAAGCCAAATGTGTCGGGGAACTCTTCCTTTAACGATGACAGTAGTACTGGTATGTATTACTTTGTTTTTAGAGACTACTTAATAATCTTGACCTCCGTTTGATGGTAAGCTAGACCATAAGTCGTGGGTTCGATTCTCGCCCAGGACAAATAATTGTGTGATAAGCACTATTATTTATTTTTTCTATTTCTGGGCGTAATTTTTCTATAATATGTATGTATTTAGAAATATATGAGTATGTGTATCAGCAGTCTGCTTACCATGGTACAGGCTCTGCCTAGTTTGGGATTAGGCATTGCGTCATGTGTGAGGTTATTATTATTAAAGCGATCGAATGCATGTATCATTGGTAATGTTAATTATTTATTACTTATTGCTGGAAGATTTACTTGTATTCATCTGAAATGTTGTGTCGGTTTAATATTATTTGGTCTGGAACGTATATCGCTAATATTTATTATCCATAATCCCATGTAGAAAATCCAACAGGAGATTATTTTTCACAAATTAAAATATTCAATATTTCCCTACTTTTTCAAATCAGACTATTGTTCTCGAGTAAATTGACCATTTTGCCTTATAATTATATATAGAACATACGTCTGAACATATTCCCAAAGGGGTAGGTAGAAGCGTATTAAACACCCACAATTTGCAACTATAATTTGGTCCTATACTCATAGTAGTATCCATAATCCTAATGGGGACTGTTGGCGTCAACCGGGCACTATAGGGGCTAGATGGGAAATTTTTAAGAATATTAAAAGGGATATTGTCTATACGAATGGATTGTGGATTGTAAGCATTGGCTGGAACAGTTACCATAGTTGCATACCTGTAACTCGAACTGGCAGTTGTGGGAAACGAACTGGCTGTTGTTGGAAACGAACTGGTTTTTGTTGGAAACGAACTAGCTGTTGCTGGAAAGATTGCACCTCGCCGCTTCCGCGCCGGTCACCTCGCCGCTTCCTACCGTGCTGTTGTTTTCATCGATCCCCACATGGGACGATACTGAAACATGAGTCGAGGTTTTCTTTGTGTCCAGTTCATGTATATTTGTGAAGTCCCCCGCGACACAGGATATATTACTAGTGCGAGTGTTGTTTTTTAAGAAAAAATAAAGAAAGTTTTAGGCCTCTAACTTAATTGTGAATTAATGGTTAAATTACGATTTTCAGTTTTTGACGGTTGGTCCAGCATCATTCTAAAGTATGACTTCAAGTGGCCCTTACATTTATTGTTTACACCTGAAGTGTTGGCGCGATACAACGACATGTTCCGACTTCTGCTACGTATAAAGAAAACTCAGCATGATTTGCACTTGTTGTGGAAGACCTACAAACAGTCTACAAGGTTTGGTTATTATTTTTTTCTAAGTTATTACCCTTTTTGTATCTGTGAACACCTAACTACGAGTATAATCGAAAGTCGTAATTAAAGGTAAATTTGCCATATAAAACTGGCAAGTTCGAGTCGGACTTGAACATGAAGGGTTCCGTACTGCAACATTTAATACTATTTACATTTGTATTCTTTTTTAAAAAAGGAAAAAGTAAAATATTCGTAGTAAAACTCACTCTGAACGTTTCAAACTATAGTAAAACTCATTCCCTGAAAATTTAAAAATACATATAACAGTTCAATAATAAAGTCATTATAAAAACAAACTTTAAATTGTATGTCAATACTTTATAATTTTTTTTTCTTAAATATCTAAATGTTTTAAATGGTGTTTTTTTTTTCAGTTTCTCAATGTGCCAGTTACATAACAAGTTGATGTTTCTTATGGACAACCTCCAACACTACCTGCAGGCTGACGTATTAGAGACGAACTTCTCACGTCTGATGGACGCCGTCAACAGGACCAATGACTTTGAAAAACTCAAGAAGGCACACGCCAATTTCCTGGCTGACATACTTAGCCAATCGTTCTTGACTGTTACTTCAGTAAGTTTTTATTTATATATATATAAATGATTGATATAATACACATAGGTACATTTTACTATACCCCTATAAAGATCGTCAAAAAGATTCCGAGTTCTATGAAAAAGTCATAAAATTCATTATTTTCCAGTCAGCAGAAAGCGATTATTCAGGAGACACCGCAGATTCGTTAAACAACCCGGTGTTCTGCAATATAATGGATCTGCTGAAGCTATGTCATTCATTCTGCAGCTTGAACGAAGCAGTCACTGATAAAGAAGCTGAGGATTATTATATCAAAGGATATTCCGATAGGTGAGCTTTAAACATACTCATTATTGCAAAGGGTTTTGACTGATTTCTCTTATGGATGGCCGTCTACCTAACTGACTCCGAAATAAAGCGAATGAGCTATTTATAAGATACCATATATCTAGGATGAAGAAACGGGACTGAGACTACAGTAGAAGAGGTAGGAATCGTGTACTCATATGTCCGTCCACTATATATTGCAGTCCACTGCTGGACATAGGCCTCTCCCATTACACGCCACTTAGATCGATTTTCGGATTCTATTCTTATTCCTAATTATTATTACAAAAAAAACCTGGCCAAGTGCGAGTCGGACTCGTGCACGAAGGGTTCCGTACCATTATGTAAAGTAATGTTCAACTTTATTTTTTGGAATTTTTCCTTTATTTGTGCTGTAAGACCTTGCTTATAAGGTAAATTTTGTGGAATAAGATGCCGTGTGCTTTTGTCGTTAATATAGTTGCATGGAGTGGATATCGAATTCATATACGACTTCACGCACTACCTGTCTGGAGGGGGGCAGCCCACTGATTAAGCCCAATCCAGGCCACCATGTAATTAAAGATGTATTCCAAAGTGTATAGTGACCTGGTTTTACGTTCGATATTTATAGTATTATATTTACCTTGTTGCAGGTTCAATACGTTAGTAAAGCAATTAATGCAGCTTCTAGTATCGTTGCGTGATCGTCCATGTGGTGTGTACCTCGCCCGTTTGCTTATGAGGCTGGACTACAACCGTTGGCTTAGCGGTGAAGCACAACTCACGCAGTCGGTTACTAACATGTTACGATACTAAACGTAATGTAAAGCTGCACCAATATGAAGAAACTGAGTGGTAAACACACTAATATCTGAAACTATCAGTCAGATTTCAAGAATCGTATTTGTATTGAATAGAGTGAGAGATGAGTGATTGTGATTTATTTTATTTGAAAGGTCACTTGATCGAGTGTTCTTAGTTATAATTCTGGAAAATCGGTTCAACGGTTCGAAGTTATTCAATGAATATGTTGAATATATGTATTTAAAAATAATAATTTATACTTGTTATGTATTGAATAGCGTGAACTTGAGTTTCTTTTCGGGAACTACTGTTATAAATTATCTCATTTGGATTCTGCATGTGAATGTAGTAGTGAGTTGTAAGGACAAGAGTGAAACTAACCTTAAATTACAGATTTATATTAAGACGGTACACAAGCAAGCCTGCCACAATTATAGTTCTCACTTTGTAATTATGGCAATTTTTAAACTGGGAGCAAAAGTCATCCAAATTCGATTTTTTCAAATTTTTTTGAGAGAAACAACCAGACCAAAAGTAGATCTTATATATAAAATTCTCGTGTCACAATGTTCGTTCCCGTACTCCTCCGAAACGGCTTGACCGATTCTCATGAAATTTTGTGTGCACATCGGGTAGGTCTCAGCATCGGCCAACATCTATTTTTCATACCCCTAAATGGTGAGGGTGACCCATCCCTAATTTTTTTTGTTTTGCAATACAACGTTTGCCGGGTCAGCTAGTATATTCATAAAGATAGATATTTTCAGTAAACGGTGATCGAATCCGCGCCCCCTTTAATGTAGCAGTCGAATATTCTGTCACAACACTATAATTATGTAGTTCACTAATTGTTATCTAATATAGACTGAATTTAATATAATAAAAATATAATAGATATTAATAAATAAAATACAATAATATTTTTGATATTTTATTCAACTTTCATCATCATCCTCATCAATAGGTTCATCTTGAAGTATGTTTGTGCCATTAATTTCATTTTTCTGATTTAGAACATGGTCGGTATGTTGTTTCAAGAATTCCTTGACTAATATACACTTAGTCATGTGGCAGGAACATGGCTGTGGATGTTCCACTACCTCTGGATCCAGCATAGTCACTTGCAGATTGTACCTGTAACATGTTAACAATACAGACAATATTAAACAAGCAGGTAATCATGGATTTCTGCTATAAATCTCAGATCTAAAGTACCTATTATAACCAATCTCATTTCAAACAAGGTTGCTATTCTAGCTATTGGTGAGATGGTTGTCAGAAAATTCTGTAAACTAAATCACAACCATTTAGTTTAATTGATTATGTCTTGAAAATGTAACTTGAAACTGTAATCTCAGTCAAAACACACTTCAAACACACAAGTCTAAATCAGTTATTACAACAGGACTTCTTCGTCACGGTCCTAAATGCTGAATAAAAATGGATTTGACCATGCAACTTGATATGGTTACGAGTTTATTCCTGCCTCTGATGGCCAAACCCTATGAGCGGTTTCGCACTACGTCCGATCCGAATCCGATCTAACTGATTAAAGCTTAGGACTTGCAAAAATACATTCTGGAAGTTTTCTTGTAAGTTACTGTGTGTACTCTGCACAGTGGACTTTGTGCGAGATTTTCATAGATATAATGAAGAGGAATCGTTTTCGGATGGAAAAACGTGGGACGGTAGAAGCCACTGACAGATGGATAAACACAGATAACTTTTTCGAACACCAAACGCACCTTCTACCATTTATAGGGTCCCTGTTCATATCCAATTGAAAAGCTATTGGTTCTCCTTCTTCGACAGCTTGTTCTTGAGGAAAAACTATTAAGGTTTGTTTCCAATGGGTCGGCGCACTCTTAGGACTGGTGTCCAATACAACACGGTTATCGCCTTCCCCATCCGACGAGTCGGGAAAAAGGCATTCAAACCATATGCACAGACCTTGGTAGCTACCATCTCGGCTCGCACCTGGAAATAGTACATGATTGTATGTTATAGTATGTTTGAATCAATTTGTCATAAATAGTTTTGACAGCATAGGGTCAAGTCTCATAATAGAAATTTGTCAAAATATCTCATAAATGGTATTTTCGTAGTAAAGTATGTGTCACTGACACTGGCTTGGGCACAATCATGGATTTTAATTATGATAAGTATGATAACACAAAAATTTAGTCGCAAATTATCAGAAATTGTTATAATAATAATAAAAATATATTTAAAATGTAATTTATATGTATATTGAATGAAATAAAGAGAATATGATATAATCACATTAAAGTCAATGTTGGATGTTTAATACTTTATCACGCAAACACCTTTTATGACATTTGTGAAAGCCAGAGTAGATTGAAACTGAATTTTGGATGAATATTTATTTGAGAGTTGATCTTCAGGTCTATCAAGTTGCTTTAATTAAAAATCATTGCAACTTTTGTTAATGTTCGAATGTAGCTCATTTATTAACTGAGATTAAGTTTGTTTTAAAGTTTATATAAAAAAATGAGAAATTTAATTTTTTTAGGTTTTAGCTCACAGATTATTTACTAACATCAACCAAAATAAGTTGTTAACCATGAAAAAAATTGTCTCTAGAACTATTACCATTCAAATTAGTTACTGACCTAGAACATGTTGTATGGTAAATGATTCTAAATCTTCCAGAGACGTCTCTTTCATTTCAAACCAACAAAGTATTACTTCAGTTCCTAACAAATCTTCTGGCTTTATAGTCAGGATTTCTGGTTTGTTTCCTTTGCTAGCCCTAAGCTCTTTAGCAAAATTTGTCATTTTAACTCCATAGATGTCATTCCATTTCTGATATAATGATGGTACACTGCAAAGAGGATATATTATTATCAATAAAATGTATAAAAAATATAGAATAGAAATATAGAATAGAATAGAAAAAAGAAAATTCACAACCTAAGGATCCTCTGGTAGGTACTTAGTGATTTTTTTAACTGTTTTAGTGAACCTAAATCAATGTTCTTTAGCGTTTTAGATACTTATAGAATTAGGAACATAGAGTGACAACCTCCAAAGCTCCTAGTAGCAGAAGAAGACAGGGAAAATGGTCAAGAGGAAGATGTCCTATGAGCTGCACAGATCACATCTGCGATAACACCAACAAAAAGTCCACAAAGCATTAATACTGATGAAGGCTGCCACAAATGGAGATTGATCATCCAAAAGATGATTTGAAGAGACTACAACCGTCAGCAATGATGACTACTACACAAGGAGAAAGAGGGTTACGATTATTAGCTGTAGTACTTTACATTATTGTAATTCTCACCTACATGGGGCTATATACACAGCAGCACTCTCAGGGAACATGTGACCATCATCTTTGAGAAACTTGTCTCTGGCCATCAGCACAGATTCTAGCATGCCTTCATGTAGCAGATAAAAACCCATCCACTCAGACACTATGACATCTACTTTTGAATTGTTTGGTAAGATTACATCTTCTACTTTACTATGAATAACCTGCAATAAAATTATAAAATAATTAAAGTAAATTTGAATTAATAATGTAAACTGGTCTAAAAGATTGTACAAGCAAACCCGCACATTTGTAGTAGTTAATGAAATTAGCTTGTGTTCACAAATTTGAATTGCACTTGTATTGCATAGGCACTAACCTTACATTTTTGTAAATAATTTAGTAGCAATAAAATCATAATTTGTTTAAGTTGTCTACTCATTTGTTACACTGTTTATGTATTTTTGTGCCATATTGTGAAATAAATCATATTATTATTTATTAAACTAGCAACCTATCAGTAATGTTAGGGAAACTACCCCTACAAAGATTATTATAAATGGTAGATAATTCCAAGTAAACCACATTTCCAAACTAATGTTAGTTAACATACATTAACTAATTATTAAGGAAAAGCTATATGAAAATACATTTTATAATTTTAAAAATGAATAATATCCAAAGTATACTTATTTACATTGTATAACTAATGTTTAAAGTTAGTCACTAAATGATAAACACAATTATTACTAACAAATGAGAGTTAATGCAATCAACTTAGATGAAATGCCATTCATTTAAAGATATATAAAACCTATCGTTGGGTTAATTTCCATTCTTTTTTGTAATAAAAGCAGTAGTGTCAGTAAATTATTTTGAAGTAATATAATTTATAATATGATATATTTTTTTACCTCAATAACATTCTGCAAGTTATTTTCTCTGATAATTTCTTTGCTTAAACCAGCCAAGTTACTAGCTTCAACAGCATAAACTTTCTTTGCGCCGGCTTGTGCACAGAATATAGATAGTATTCCAGTTCCACTTCCCACATCCATTACAATTTTATCCTTAAAATATGACTGGTTATTTAAGATTGCATTCTTATAAGCTAGAGTTCTTGGCTCGTCTTCTACCATCAACTTGTGTACCTATAAACGAAATTTGATTATTTGGATTGTTTTAGATTCAAAGGGTCAAGTTTATTAATTAACCATAAATACTATTTCACCTCTAAGTCCTCGTAACTAGAAAAATAGTTATTTTGGATTGCGTCAACGTCCATTTTTTATTTTTAGTAGAATCTTTTATGTTTCAATCTCAATATAAAAATTGGCATGAGAATAACCTCAATGAAAGTTTAACTAACAAACAAGTAGTACATAAGTACATTTACTGTCAGTGTCAATTTACAAATAAACAAATTGACAGTTGGCAGTCATAAAATATAGACACCTTAAAATGGGGTGAGTAGGGAAAGATCCGAAAGCTATGAACAATGATTAAAGAAACATCGCTATAATTATCGCCTTTGTTATAAAACTTAAAACTTTTATAATTTTAAAATCGTAGGAAAAAATAAAAAAATAAAGGTATCCCTATTCTACCCATACGCATCCCAATTATCCCCTGTTTTGTTGTTATTCATACCTAAGATGGCCCAATTCATTCCAAACTCCAAATACAACACATTTTACCTCTATCCATTTAATTTAATTGAGACTTACCTTTGCTGTATATGATAGCTAAATCTCTAAACAACATTTTCAACACCCTTGGTGGGTGTTGAAAATGTTGTCTTTTACATAAATTAAATTTTGAACGTACAAATATTTGGCGCCAGAAGAGGTCAACTTCGAATGTTTTTTTTTTATATATTTTTTTTTGTATTTTTATGGCCTGGTAACAAGACCTTTCAGCCAATTTTATATTTATTATTCCTAATCAGTGTTGCCATGAAGATTTGCGAAACTCGTATTGCATTCAAAAAATAGTAAATATTAAAACGAACTTGTACTGAATAATGATAATATTTTCGTGGTTTTACCCCCTATGGTGAGATTAAAACGGGGAGGCCCTTTTAATCTCTGATGACCCTATTTTAAAGGTATCTATAGTATTGCAGTGTTCTTTTTGACATTTCAAGATGCAGTGAGAACGAACTCAAAGACTAAGATGCCTTTATTTTAGGCTTAATGAATAAACATTTTAGTAAAAAAGCCTATGTACATACACATATGTACATATATCCTAAACTATAACCTATTTCCGTGCCAAATTCCATCTAGATTAGTTTAGTAGTAGATTAGTTCATTAGTAGATTTAGTTTTGAAGCTCAAATATAAAACAACATTAGTGAGGAAGATAGATTTTGATAATTCAACAAAGGCAATGAGCATATTATAATGCATCACGATGAAACTACTAGTCCGCTATTTTATTCACAATGTGCAAGGTTAATTTAGTCCCCAGTATTAATTATTGCTTAAAGAATTAGTTGGCCAGTGACTGCAACAGAGTTCCATCCTCAGCTGAAGTCAATGCAAAGAAATTATGCATGCACTTTTAATGTTTAAAAATGTTACCACGATTAGATGTTAGGTAAATTCGACTTCTGTGATTTGTTGGTGAAAACAAATAAAATTGATTCTTAAATTTTTGTTAAAAACTTTAAATCAAATTCAGTCTTTTATCTTCGTAATGTATATAACCGAGTGTTTTTTTTACTAAGGATAATTTAAACATTTAAATAAGAAATTTGTATCTAAACTACCTCTTTAGCTGTAGCATACTTTACTATTTATGTATCTCTTTTAATGTAATTAAAATTATTTTTACCCATTTTGCTAATAAATGCTTTGTAAACACAGCAAGGATGTATTGTTGTGTACTGTATAAATAGTTCTTATGGCAATTTTTAAGTTTCAGTTGATAAACTTTGAAGTGCATCCCTAATTCCCTTGACTGTAAAAAATATTTTAGTAGGCAACACAGACACTCGCTGTGACATTTGTCTGAATGCCAACTGAATGCGTTGTGTTGTGTATTCCCAAATTATTCTTAAAGTGATAATGGTTTTAGTTTGAAATCCAAAAATATTACAGTTACAGACTATTTGTGAATTATGGCAAAGGAAGGCGACATGTCTCTTTTCAATGATGTTTTGGAACCATTTAGGCGGGTAATAAACAGTGACCCGCCGAAAGACAAACTTTCGGCTGCTTCGAAATTAAATTTTTCTGATAGTAACCAATCTCTGAAAGAAGGTACAGATTTTTAAAACATTTTAGGTGAAATTCATTGACATTAATATCAAATATGACAATTGAATATAATATAATCGAATATCTTCAGGTCTAAATAACTTCTTGTCGATGGGGAAGAGAAAATCTAGTATTGGGATGTCGGAGTCGTGTACGCCAGAAAAACGTCTGCGAACTGAGTCTAGTTCTACCCCGGCATCTGCGCCTCCATCACCATGGGAAGCTAAGAGGTTAAAGATCGATTTAATCGCTGCCAAAGCACAGGTAACCAAAAACTTTGCTGATAACTAGTATAAAACTTCGTTTAAATATTTCAATTTTTATTTATTTATTATTTATAATAATAGTTTATTAGGTGGAAATGTGTTAGTAACAATTAACTTAAGCTTAACTCTTCACATGCTGCCCCTCTGATATGCCCGTATACTGTAAAGTGCTTTCACCAGTAAGCGCTGTACAGTGTAGCGGCACATCAGAGGTTAATATAAATAACATAAAAACATTTTTTAAATTGTTCTCACTAAAACGCCTTTATAACTTTTGATCATAGGTAAGTTAGCAGTTGTAAATGTTAACTCATTTGATACATTTAATCAAAAAGTTAATGTCCAGACAAAAAAAAAAACAGTCTTTAAATAAATTTTAAATTCATTCATTTCAGATAACAAAATTGGAATCTCGCATAAACCACCAACATACAATTCGCAAGGAGATGCAAATATTGTTTGAGGAGGAGAAGGCATCCCTCACAGAGCAACACAAAAGGGATGAAAGAGCACTCTCTGACATGGAGGATAGACTCCAAATTGTTAGGAGAAGAGAGCAAGAACTGAAAGATGAATATAATGAGGTATGCTGAACAAACATTATTCCTGCAGAATACTTGTTCTGTTTTACTGTGGCTGTAAACTAGCAAACATGCAATTTTTATGCATAAATAGAATTAACCTGAGTTTTATTTGTTTTAGTTAAATTTGAGTTCCAAATATACTTATACAATGACTGCACTGATGTTTGTTTAAATGGGTTTAATCCCCACATGGCACAACAGTTTGTGTGATCCTCAAATTGTTGTTTTGAGTCTGTGGGTTTGTGTCCGTTTCATCAATGTTCGGAAAGTCCCCAGTGACACTGGATATATTCCTAGTGCAGGAGTTGTCTTTTTAACAAAAAAAACTTTGCAATATTCATGTAATAAATCTAGTACTCAATCAACAAATCTAGCATTGATATTGATAGTAAAATTCAAATCCCTAGTATTCTTTCATAATATATTTAAATAACAGGCTATAAAGGAACATAAACAAAATAAAGCTATTTGGGACAAAGAAAAAGGGGAGCTGCTCAAACAAATAGCTGAAATGAAGGACAAGTTGTTAGAAGCCAATGTGACTAGCAAGGATCAGATGTCTGAGATGAAGAAGGACATGGATGAGTTGTTGCAGGTAATTATTACTCTATTTGACAGATTATTTATATATTAGTAGGAATTTATATAAATTAAATTATGGACTTCTGAGAGGTTGCATGAAAAGAATAATATTATACCCATCCTGGATTATGGTGATGTATGCTATTATGACCTGAATGCATACCTACTCAATAAATATGACTGCCTTCTGAATAACTGCATTCGAATTGTCTTCAACCTTGGCAAATATGACCATGTTTCCTCCTTTCGTCGCGAATTGATATGGCTCACAATTCGCCAGCGCCGACACCTGCGCGCCCTCACCACTCTCTATTCCATTATCTACTCACTTCTTCCTTCCAATTTCTGTGCTCCAACCACGATAGAACCCTCCGGTCAGCTAACAATCCTCTTCTGCTCTGCCCCACTCATATTGCAGCTTATGTCCACTCCTCTTTCCTAATCCAATCCATACTCCTCTGGAATGCTCTCCCTCTCGAAATCAGGATAGCACCCAGCCGCCTCTCATTCAAGATGAAAGCTAGAGCTCGCATCCTGGACACGCTAGCAGATTCATCGCAACCTTGAAATTTTATATATTATTGATTTTTTATTTTAAGATGATTATTTTAGGCTTATGTATGTATGTTGCTATATAAGTATTTGTGTATGTGTATGTATTTGGTACATATGAATGTATGTATATTTATTGCATTACTTCTACCTAACTTATCAATCATTTTCTTTTACTTCTATTAATGTCTAGTGCACCTAGCCACACATTTCAGCACCACCCTAAGGTAGACTGAGAGAAAATTGACTGCACGGATGGCGTAGTGGTTTAAGCGGTCACCACGCCGCTTCCTACTACGCCCGAGTGTTGTGGGTTCAAACCCCACATGGGACGACACTTTGTGTAATCCACAAATTGTTGTTCTGAGTCTGGGAGTTCTTTGTGTCCGTTTCATGTATGTTTGTAAAGTCCCCCGCTACACAGGATTTATTCCTAATGCGGGAGTTGTCTTTTTTAAAGAAAAAAAAAAAAAAATGCCTATGGCATTAAGTCCGCCAATGTACAACTTGTGCATAAAGAATAAAATAAATATTAGTTCAGGAGCCTTAATAGTTGGATTTATCTTTCTTGATAGATAATTATTGGCATAGTTTATTGATTTGTATATAAAACTTTATTTTTCAATTATGTTTTCATTTCATAGGACAATAACAGCTACATATATAGAATATTTATAATACAACTTTGTATAAATATACTTTTGTATATTTATACAAAGTTCTATATATATATTATTTAATTTTCTTTTCCGAAATCCTTTATTCTATCTTATTAGTGTCAGTCTTTTTATAAGAAAAGCATGCAATGGTCAATGACCATTATGATAAGATGGTCTCAGACATAAAAGCGGGATGTAATAATTTGCCATTTTGCATATAATAGATGAAAGTAATAAAAGCATATAAAAAAGGTTCAATTTCTTCACTTACAATTTAATTTATTTTAGGCTTTAGAAGGTGCTCAAACAGAAGTGGAAATATTAAAGAAGGAGGTTACAAAGCAGACAAGTAAGGCAGAGCAGTGTATAACCTTGAAAACTCAGCTTGAAAAGCAGACATTTGAGCTGCAACAAGTTACCAACAAATTGAAAGAACTGGAGTATGAGAGAGACTCTTATAAAGACTGGCAGCAACAGGCTAAGGTATACTTTCATTATTTTAACACACTCATGCTGGGGACAAAAACCCATATATTTCATTCTTCCAAATATTGGACCTAGCCAATTCAATTCTTTTAATTTGCATTTGTCATTTCATGTCATTCATGAAGCTGCAAGTGCAACATATCATTTTAATGATTTATACAAAATCATTAAAATGATATGTTATAATGTAAAAGTATATTAACTATCATTTTAAATTTAATTCAAACATATTTAATTGAAAAAATTAAGTTTTACCCAATTTGAATCTATATTTATGTAAAAGCCTTGAGACTAAATTTTATTCAACAGCGAAATAGTATGGTAATATACAATATTACTGGGTACAAAATGAGCGGGTAAACACTATTTTTAGTAATTGACTAGCTGTAACCGCCACGCTTCAAACTGTGCCACATTGAGGTTGCTTCAAACTCGAAAAATTTTTTTGTTCATAAAATAATTTGAAATCGTCTCTTGTGTAGACTCTTAAGTCCGCCTATTTCCAAGGGGTTGAGCCTCATAAGAAGAAACGACAAACATAAGAAACGAGGAGCAAATCTAATATAAAAAAAAACCTGCCAAAATTTGATTCTAATTGGTGCAAAACCTCAAAAAGGAGTTTTTGATTTTAATACATTTTTAAACAACCTAAAAGAAGGGTCCTCTTTGATGTTTTTCTTAAATTTATTTATATATATAAATAAATTAATTTTAATTAAATATAAATATATATTATATTATAAAAATATATTATATATTATTTGGTTATAGGCGATCACAACTAACAACACTATGTTGAATAATATTTCTTCAAATAAACATATTCAAAAAGATATATAATCTTTTAACTGTGAAGTGTAACATAGTTTAGATAACACTTTTAAAATCTTTATTACAGACGGCACAGAAACGTTTATCAAATATGGCCGAATTAGAGAAGGAGGTGGGACGACTTCGTGCTAATGAGCGGTCCTTACGAGATTCAGTGTGCAACAAATTGTTGTTAGAAGAGCAAGTCCATCAACTGCAGTCAAGAGTAGATGCATTACAACCAGTACAAGAGGAACTACATGAGGCAAAGGTTAGATATTGTTTGCAGAAAGTTTTCTTGTAATGAGTAATTATGTGTTAATATATAGTGTACTAAAAAAATACTAAAAGTTTATAGCAAAGAATATAATTATTGAAAATTACAAATGTAATAAAATGACTAATATCTAGCTATGTCAGGGATGGCATAAAAATTAAGTAAGTATAGAATATAGTATGTTACATCTGGCGTCCTAGGCACGTTGCAGAGTTAGCTTTTTTTTTATCGTGTCTGTATTGTATCATTTAAAGCGCGATCGGGATCCACTCATATGCTAGCAATTTCCGAAGAATAATATTTTCTAATAAATTTATCTGTCGGCAGGTGAAAATATCGTCATTGGAGTCGATGCTCGAAAAATACAAGGCCGTAGCGCGGTCGGCGGGCGTGGATTCCGCGACGGCGCTGGCCACCGCGCTCGACTCCGCCCTCAACACTCAGCTGTCAGCCACCGCCGCCACCTCACACGCCCACTCGCAGCTCGCACAACTCGCCGAGGTACGGTATCATGACTGACTGCCCTCCATCTGTCCTTTCGCAATGTAAACTGTACTGTCAGGCGCAAATTACAAAAATGCTGATGTGACTAAGAGGTTTCAATTTATTGAAAGCAAAGTTGTCACGGCACTGTACGACGAAAAACTTGTAGTACGCTCCTGGCCGATGTAGACACAGATTAAAAATAAGTTTCAAGTCGAGTGCTCTTAAAGTGAAATACGATATATTTGTTTATATTTAGATGGATTCTGCCCAGAAAATCTTATTTGATACCTGCTCATAACCATGGCATTGGGGATATTATTTTCAATTACCAGTATACATATGTATGTATCTTTCTAGGAAGTCGCAACTCTAAAGTTCGAGCGTGACAAGGCAACTGGCAAACTGAATGACCTGCTGAGTGTTCGTAAAAATCATGAGAACCTTATACACCGGCTACAGAAGCGTCTGCTACTAGTCACCAGAGAACGAGATAGCTATAGGTAAGAATGTGCAATACTGTAGTACCACCCTTACCAACACTAAAGTAATTCGTTTGTAATATTTGTCTCAAGGGGCTTGTAAAAGAGCCGCCAGAAACATGCTACAAAATGCCCGTTTAGTAAACAATTAACAGCAAATACTGCAGGGATGGCGTAGTGGTTAAAGCGGTCGCCACGCCGTTTTGTACTACGCTGAGTGTTGTGGGTTCCATCCCCACAACGGGCACCGCTTTGTGTGAACCACAAATTGTTGTTCTGAGTATGGGTATTCTTTGTGTCCGTTTCATGTATGTGTGTAAAGTCCCCGCGACACAGGATAAACATTCCTAATGTGGGAGTTGCCTTTTAAAAGAAACGATTCGTAGGAAATTACATTGTCTTTGTGTTTTAGATGTTTAAGTATGTTTAACTGACACAATACCCCTTATACAGGCAGCAACTAGATTGTTACGAGAAGGAACTAACAGTGACATTAAGCGGTGAAGCGGGTTCCGGCAATGCTACCTTGTTGGCCGCGAGGGTTGAGCAGCTGGAGAAAGCGCTGCAAGGGTACCGCGACCTACTTGCGACACATGATAGCACTGCTCATGCTAAGTGTAAATATACTATTATTTTTGTCATTGATAAATAATCATTAAATAAACTATATTTAATACCAAATTAAAGTAACATTCAACATTCTTATGTAAATTATTAAATCTTGTATTATTTTAATTGTGTGTTTTTTATGTTTTAAAATAGTCATTTTGTAATTTACTTGTTTGCTTTACTTGTAGACTATTAGCTCAGCAGAATGCCTTAAAACAAAGGTCTCGGATCGCTGCGTACATGTTTGACTTACGGTGCTGAGTCTATAAACTAAAAATTGCGCAGCGGTCTATGGAGCAATAATACTCGTACAATTTGTATCGAGGTCGTCTGAAAAAGAACTAACATTAGAATACATCGGTCTTACAATAAGTATGGTAAAGCGTTGGCGACATCGGCAGTGCAGTAGATCAGCCTATTGTAGTTAAACCTTTTCTGTTAAAACTTTGTTTGAGAAATTTAAAAACCGATAGTGCGATCTTATTTTACAAAGCGTGTGTGAGTGAAGTAGACATTTCGTTTGCGATGTGGCAGTGGTGGAGAGCCTGCGCGCGGAGGGCAGCAAGCACCGCGAGGAGGCGGAGGCGCTGCGCCGCGACGTGGCCAAGCTGCGCGCGCAGCGGGACGCGCTGACCGCGCAGCTCGAGAGGATCGGCGCGCACACGCACACCAAGGTGCGCTACGTGCTTGCTCACATTGCACCTGACGTGCTTAGGGACCCCCGCGTCGTCGTCTTGCCAGTGCCCGCTGAGCTGGCGAGGGGCTTTCGTTGTTCATCCACAGCGGTACGCACGACGCTTGAAAGACGCTAGTGTAGGGGGTCCCTTACTTGCGTATCTTTCCCTTGACATTTTTGTATGATTTTTAGTAAAAGTTAGTAAAGCTAGTAAAAGTAGTAGTAACATATTATTATTAATATATTACTACTACTAGCTTCACTAAGTTTTATCGCTCACGCTGTTTTATTACTCAATTTTTTCTTGATAAAATATAGCCCATATGGTATTTCAGACTATCTATCTCTGTGTCAAATTTCATCCAAATCCGTTTCGGCCTGATTGGGTCTCACAGACGTTTTCGTTTATAAAATAATATATGTATGTATATAGGTGCTACATTTGAGTGATAATCCTGCTGCTATCGCGCATAAACAGATGCAACAAGACTTGGTGTCGGCTCAAGAGGAGGTGAGAAAATTTTGTTATTTTTATACTATATATGCTAGATGATATGATTTATATACTAGATGCAAACATGATTTAGAACTTTCTTTGAAAACCAATACTACTCTTTTAAGGATTATCAGCTTATACTTTTTATTTATTTACAAATGATTACAGCGTAAATACTTATTATAACAAAATTAATTAATCCAAACGACATATACAAACACAATTATCGCTACGGACGCAAATCAAACATATTTTTTTACAACAAATGAAGTATACAGGTGCCATTATCCTTTATATTACTTTTTATATTGTATCCTCGAAACAAAATACCTACTACAATATTCATTTGTACTATGATGAACAGATTAAAAAGCTGAAAGCAGAGTTAGAGAAGAACACATCTTCCACGTCAAGTAACAGTATGAGCTCTGAAGAAGTACAGAAGATTATGGCACAATTGGAAAGCAGCCGTATCAAGCTTAGAAGGTAGGTAATATTAAAAAAAGGTAGTTAACTATAAAGTGTTGTTATTATTTGTGTGTATCCATTAAACTATAAAAACGCGGAATCCAGGAAAACGCGGCAATCAAACGACTTTACGGCTTCCGATAACAAGCTGCGATAATTTTTAGGTCATATGTAATATGTGGGTGTCGTAGGATCGGCTCCTAACAGGTGTCGTAACAGCACTGCAAACAGAAGGAAAACTTGACACAAACCCTGTACCAACCCGTCTAGCCAGCGTGGTATAGTAGGCCAAAACATTCATTCTAAGGAGAGGCGTATGTCCAGCTGTGGACTATTAAAGGCTGTTGATGATGTAATAGAAATGTTAGTAGAAAATAATATTTTGACTACAAGAGTACAGTCATTCTAGGTAATGTTATTAGTTAGATAGGTAACAACTAGCTACAATACAATTTGTTATGGTTTGAGAATAATTCGATTGAAATAACTATGATTGTCTTAAGTGACTTTTCATACAAGAAACATAATACATTAACAGAATGAGGTATGCGAATTTTATCACAGGTATAGAAAAGAACCAAATCTCCTCCCACCACCACTTATGGGGGCGATGACTGTCAAATTAAATCAGTATCTTTTTATTAAACGTCAAAACGATAGACGTGGTATATTTTTGTATGAAATACTATGATGTGACGTCAAATGTAGCTATTGTCAAAACATTTATATTTAATGTTCATGTACGTGTGCGGACGGACAACCGTGGTACACCAATCAGCACACGTACGTGTAACACCGAAAGCTGATCTGAATTACAACCTAAGTACGCGTATCGAGGGGGAACCGTAGTGAACCGAGCAATACTCGTACGTAACCTACGCCTACGTACCTAAATCCCTAGATTCCCTAGCCCTTTTTTTTTTTTTTTTTTTTTTTTTTTTTTTTTTTTTTTTTTTTTTTTTTTTCCGTGCGGAAATCCCCTCGGATACCACCTGTCGGTGGCATGTCGGACTCGAACCGACTAAAACCGCACGCCTTCGCCGGGTACTAATAGCCGGGGAACCAGGTATACCCTAGAAAGGAAGGCCCTGGTGCCCCGACATACCTCGGGTCATCTACAGACGAGTAGACGACCCCCGCCCCGTGTGGGAACCCCATGTTCCCTGTGCTCCCTGGAAGCGAGCGCGCTTCGCAACGCGCTCGCCGCCACCCCGGCCTGCTTCTGCTAGGGTGACAGATGGCCTCACCTGTCACCCCCAGGCCTGCGCTTATGGAGGACGGAGGTCGTTCTGCGACCTCCGGCGCCTGAGTGACCTGCGCTGCCTGGCCCGTGCCCGGGCCTGGCGGGCCGGGAGAGTTCTAAACCTCTCCCGGTCCCGCTCCGCCGTCTCCTTCGCGAGCATAACTTGCTCGCAGAAGGAGACGGCAGAGTTCCACGCACTCTCGCTCCGGACGATAGCCGCAATCAGGCTATCGAGCGAGAGAACTCCCACTCCGATGGCCGCCACGAGGTCTCGCCTCTGCTCAACCCACGCCGGGCACTCTGCCAGCGTGTGGAGAGCCGTGTCCACGGTCTGGCCATCGCAGTGGTGGCACTCAGGCGTTGGCTCCTTGCGGATCAGACACAGGTGATCTCCGAAACATCCCTTCCCAGTGATCACCTGCGTCAATCGGTATGAGAGGGTCCCGTGACGCCTCTCGAGCCAATCCTCCATAACGGGTCTTACCGCCGCAATGACGGCGTGCCCGATTCCCTAGCCCTACCAATATGTGACCCTGCGCTGAGGGTTACCTGGAGACCTAGGGTAACAGACGGAGGCGTGAATGGAGCGCTGTTTAGGAGATGATTTTCTCACTGCCGGTCAAGCAGACTCACAAGACCGATCTACTGACGGTTAAAGGTGTCTTGGCCGCAGTGAGAAGTGGGACAGGGTAATGAGTCAAAGTCGGATTAGACAAAATGACTGGTTTATTTACATAATAATACATCTTATATACTAAACTTACTATAAGTACACATGTATGGCTATTTGCTTGTGTGCCATCCGTGTGTTGTGTTGATGCAGCTGCCTTAATCTCGGTCATGCCGAAATGTTGACAGTGCATCGACATTACGCCGCACCACGTGTGACATAAATGCTGTTGCTGGGTGATACAATTATGTTCATGATTGAACATTCTGGCGTCTCTCAGGAACAGCCTGAAGTTCGTACAGCTCAATCTTTTCTGTCACGATGTCTGCAGGTTTGTTGCTGGCGGCATCCTTAGACGGTTGTACTGGCCGTCGAATTGGTTGGCTGTAAATTGGGGTTAGTCTGGCTGGTGGTGAACGCCGTTCAGGTTCTGTTAGTGGAAGCCGTGTAGGCGACGGTGTCTTGAATCGTGCTATAATGAACCGCACCACCTCTTCCCGTTGCCTGTCACGGATTATTGAAACAACAGTACTATCTTTAACTATGAACAACCATGTATTATGCGTACATAGCTATTTCCATATTATATTACTAGAAATATGGAACGATTTAGCAGGGCATTTAGCGCGTGTATGATTTTTGAAAAGCTGGTCAACAATGCAATTTTAATTTGATTTTTTAGTTAAATTTTTTTGTTCATTAAATTAATAAAACATTAAATTGTTAACTGAGGATAATTCAGGCTGTACTTGAAGATAATAATAATAACCTCATACATCTCTCACACGTCCGTTTGATCCCAAACTGGGCAAAGCATATACTATGGTAACCAGACTGCTCATAAATTTATAAATATATACATATAGATAAATTACACCCAGACACAGTACAAATGACCGTGCTCATCACACAATATTTGTTCTGGGTGGGAATCTAACCCACGACCTCCGGCTTAGCAGTCAGGGTCACTAACCACTAGACCAACAGGCCCGTCTGACGATGTTATATTTAATAATTCAGGTGATATAATTTATTTTTAACCTAAGAATTTACTCTATTCTTTCTCTCAAAAGCGTTCACGGGTGGCGGTGGTAATTTACAATCAGCTGACCTATTTGTTCGTTTGCCTTCTATACCCCAAAAAAATGACAATTTATATATCAGGCGTACCACTAAATGTGTTGTTTTTTTTTAAGGTTCCGTACCTCAAAAGGAAAATACGGAACCCTTATAGGATCACTTTGTTGTCCGTCAGTTAGTCTGTCTGTCTGTCTGTCAACACCCTTTATCTCGGCAACGCGTGGAGGTATCGAGTTGAAATTAAAACGATAAACTCAGGTCTACAGACTCTTGAAGCTGTAAAAAAATCAAACTTCTAAGTTAACGTAAAAAAAGATACGGCCATTTATGCAAAAACCAAATCTATAGGGTGTTTTCCGTTACCTAGAACTATGAAATTTGGCAAGTAATACCGTCTTATACTACAACTAGGAAAAATCTGAAAACTATACATTTGTGTGCCTACAAATTTGTACGGAACCTTCGGTGGGCCAGTCCGACTCGCACTTGTGCGGTTTTTTTACTTTGACTATGACTACTGATGACTAGAGACGATCCTACCGTCATTTTGTTGTTGTTCTTCTCAGCCGAAAGACGTCGACTGCTGGACATAGGTCTCTCCCAAGGTTCACCACAACAACCAGTCCTGTGCTACCCGCACATATTTTAGTTATTCTGTATTATTCCAGGATGTCAAATAGTGAGTGAGCTACTTCAGAACAAGAATATTAATGAGTTGTATGAAAGTACTTACAACTTATAAACCTGTGATCCGGTAACAAACGATGTATATGCACTTACGTAGATTAAACGCTCCCGACCTGTGGTCCAACCTCTATGTCCAACTAAGACAACTTTTCTTTTATGCATTTATTGTTATGACCCGTAGTACTACTGAGGGAATAATGTCCAACTGGTGTATGAACAAATGCTTTGTCCAAATTTTTGTACCACGGTAAGTAAAAGTATTCATGGTCCAACTATAAACAAATAAAGATCAGTAAAAACAAACGAAGATTAGTAAAAACAAATGAAGATTGGTAAAATAAATGAGGATCGGGAAAAATGAAAGAGAAAGAAATAAGTTAATGTGAAAGTTTATAAGGGCGACAATTGCTTGCACTTATTTGTTATAATTTATAATTTATGTGATGGCTATTGTAGAAAATAGGTACAAACAATTTTCAACCTTATGCACTTCCACAGAATCAAGTTTTTTATTTTCGTGATCAGCGTCATTGCTAGACGACAAAAAAACCTGTTTTTAGAATAATTTGATTAAGGGCGTAAATAGCTAGCAACTGTTTTTTCTGATCAATATGTGTTTTTTACCATAGAAATGTATTTTGACCTATGTTACCGGCTATTTTTTCGAATAAGTATGTTCCATTGTTTTTCTGTATGTTCCTTTGTTTTAATCGATTTTCAATGTGACATCTGAAATTCTGGCGAATGTGACAATAATAGATAACCTTTTTGTCTTTATGATAGTTGGTCCATGGATAAACGTGTATTTCCGTAGTCCAACCGCTAAGACCACGGGTAGACTTGCTTCCAATCGGTTGGACCATGGATAGTTTTACTTACCTGTGGTACAACCAGTTGAACATAGCGGTTGGACCACGGTCGGGAGCGAGGATAACATAACATAATATCATATTAGTTCATTAAAAATTGTGACGTGACAAAAATAACGAAAGTTACTTATTGTTGTTTCATATTTTAGGCTATTTATACCCAAATTCGTATTTCATTAAATTTATTTGTGAATTCATGGATGTTATATTTGTATTGTTCACTTTATTGTTTAAGAAAATATTTAAATAAATATACTGTACCGTTTCAGGATGAAAGAAGAATTCACGACTGCGTCCCAAGAGTACAGAGATGTTGTTTACATGCTGTTAGGTTATAAAATTGATAGAACTGGACATAATAACTACAAGTAAGTTTTGATTTATTCTCTAATAATTCACGATCACGTATCCATCCTAAGAGACTGCAACTTTAACTACAGAATGCAAAAAATATTAGTTTGGTAGATTTTTAGTTTTTTTCCTTTGCTTTTAAAAAAGCACCCTGCTGGCATTATAAGAGTTAATCCATATAGATAGGTTAAAACAATTTTGTTTCTGAAAGACAACTCCCGCACTTATTTATGAAACGGACACAAAGAACAACCAGACTCAGTAAAACAATTTGTGAATCACAGAAAGTGTTGTCCTGTGGAAGCGGCGAGGCGACCGCTTAATCCACTACGCCATCCGTGTAGTTAAACTACTACGTCTCTATACACTTATGTTCCTCGAAATGTGTCACAACACTAATGTGCGTCATCATGCTAATAAACTAACTAGTTTTTATAGTAGTGTTTTTAGTGTTTCAGTTAACTACAAGCCATGGCATTAATATTTGTAAAATTATTATTTTTTTAATAATTCTTGCAGATTATCAAGCATGTACGCAGAATCACCAGACGATTACTTAACATTTACATTAGTCGATGACGGCATCGAGATGGTCCATACCGACTACTCGACCACGTTGGGAGAGTTAGTCGATTTACATCTTCACCAGAATCGATCCATACCCATGTTCTTAAGCGGCCTCACGCAGGAATTATTCACTAGAACAACTATGCAGCAAGAACAATAATAAAAAGCTAGTGTAAGTAATTATTAGTGGAAGAGGAGTTAGCCTTAACGACCAATGTAGTGCTGACGGTCACCGTTGAACGCGTCATCTTAGTCAATATATTGGTCTTCATCTAGTTGGCACACTTAATTGAACCATGTTGTGCAGAAAAGATTCACAAACTGGCCTCGTAAATGATTTTTTTCGTGATATAATAACTGTAATGTGGAAGTTAATAACATTATTAATTTACTCGTGTTGAGTTTGTGACATGACTCGATTTTGTACAACACTGTTTAATTAAAACTATTATGCAGATGTAAGAACTTAGTGTATGGAATATTACAAAGGGATCGCTTACATTGGACTGTAATAAAAACGCAATGTGAAGGCCAATTCTCGAAAGAAAAATTCGGTCAAAATTCAGTTCCAATCAAGTCAGGATCTCAGGATTGTCATAAAAAGGTTTTTGGCCTTGATCTAACAGTAGATAATAAGGATACAATCTGAATATAAGTTTAAATGTTTAGTCCTGTACTATCTTCTATGTAGATAGGTATGTACGGGATATGAAGGATCTCACGATGAATTTTTCTTGAATGGCCCCTTAGATTGTAGTTATTCAATTTATTAATGGTATGTTGAAGAAAATTAGGATGTATAGCTTCTGTCTTCTCTGAAATTAAATAAAGTTTTATGAAAAAAGGGTAATGTATACTTATCCATACTGCCATTACGGAAGCGGAAGATCGCTTTTTTCTTCCATCGTTGAAGATTATAAATATTATATCGTACATAACACAGGGTTGCATGTGCTAAAAAACATCTCAGTCTGCAGGAAGTTAAGACTTAAATAAACGTCAACAGCCTTAAATAGTCCACTTCTGGACATAATCCTCTCCTTAGAAAGAAAGTTTTGGTTTAAAATGCCACGCGTGCCAGACGGGTTTGGAATAGGTTTTGTTTCAAGTTTGACTTCTCTTTACAGTGCTTTTGTCCTGTGAATTTGCTCCCTTAGTCGGCTCTTACGATACCCACGGGATGTTTAGGGGTGTGATGACACACAGTATTTTTAATCCGTCACCACACGTTAAATAAACATATCAAAAAATTTATTTGTTATCAATTTCATGTCTTATTGTTGTTTCTTTTTATTTGAAGGTCAGTTCAGGTCAGGAAAATATCCTTTATAACTGTTGCGAGATCGAGAGTTGATCGGAACTGAATTTTGACCAAACTTTTATTAGGAAAATTGACCTCCTGATAGCAGTCGCGCCGCGTAAAAAATCAAAGTTCAGCCGTATCATAGTAGACTTAAAGCCGACTCCAACCTAGTTTGGAAAAAAGGCTCTGAGGATGGGGAAGAAGGGTTGTCACTTAGACAACTCCTATTAGAATATAAATAATTAGCGATTATTTTAATAAGTAAATAATTGTAGTGTTTAAAAGAAAATATACCATCCTTATTTAATAGAATTAGGATCTAATTCTAAGGAAAGCGTGATGAACGCACCGAAGTGTCTTTTATTTATAATTTTCAAGCAATAACATCTTTTGCACAATATCTTCTTTATATTAAGACCAATGTTAATAAATAATTTGTAATAAATCCAATATTTGGTATAACGCATTAAACATTTTGTAAAATTTGATCAACATTCCTGTAATCTCAATTAGACACTGGTTTTGAGACTAAATATTACATAATAAAAGTGTCTTAACTGAATGTTTTATTATTTCGAATATAATACCTGGCTCAATACAATTTTTGGTACTTTGTTTTGCTAAATAGTATCAGTAATAGGTATGTGCTGATATTATTGTCAATTTTACGTTTTAAGGTCACTAATTAAACGCTTGTGGCAGCTAGCATAGTTGTTAGGTGTAAGTTCACCGGATGATTAATGCTTTAATTGTTCAGGCAAATTGTAGGTCTTTTCCGAAAACTCTTATAAGTCTGGGCTCAAAGTAACAACTTAACATCAACAATCAATTTCCGAAAAATTTTGTCCAAGACAAAATTGCAGGAAAACAAAGATAAACCGATAAAGAAGACCTACATATCCATAATACAATAATGTGAACTAATAGAAATATTCTAGTAAAATGTGATCCAAATCGTTAAAATTCTTTACTAAAAATGTACCATAGGTGCTTAAGGAGTTATGTGTAGGGCAAGAAATAAGAGCGCACACGTCAGTGTAAAATATTTATGAAGAAACAAGGACAATATATTATACAAATCATCTAATGTTTGCAATGAATTCAACTACAACAATTTAGTATTATTATAGTCAGACGTTAACAACGTGATTAGCACTATGAAATAATTGACAAGAGCCGAGCAGCTACTGTATTATGTAATTGATTTGTTCACAAACGTTATAAGTAAGTACACATAATTATTTTACCTTTGCAGAAAATTAATATAATATAACTAAAATTATTAAATTTCATCAATCAGTTGTCAGTCAGTCAGACTTCAACAACTATTGAGCTGTTTTATTTTATTTTAATGGAAAAGTGAAAATTTAAGTGTCACAATCATAAATCATATCTAAGTAGGGACAATAGTAGTCAAAATTCGTTGACGTGATTGATTGTTAAGTTTGCATTAAAGCTTACGCCATCTGCTGTTCTGTTATATCATTACAAGTATTTAATGAATAGTAAAAACTTTTAACTATTTAAAGCTAGGAAGGACGCCGAGCAAGTGGTTTCTACATTGACATCACACATTGCTTTGATTCACATGAGAAAATCACGAAGATAAGACTCACATACAAATAGTATTGGAAACATTTTTGGAAATAATTTAAAGTAACAATAAATTACTTTTTACCTACAGCCTATAAAATCACTTAATTTTCAATGTAAAATGTTTCGAAAATAACGATAGTCTAAAAATCTTACATACACATAATACTGAAAACGTATTTTATAACACTAAACATGTCCGAATTAAGTTCTGTGACGTCGCCCGCCGCCACGGAGTTCGTTTACGTACCGTGTATATACATCTACATAATATATGTATAAATATACATGTACATACACGTGTACGAAGCGAGCAACGCTACCAACGACCCATGTGTAAAGACAAACAAAACAAAACATATAACATAAATTTCATACAATTTTCAATAAAATTATTGCACTAAACTTTACTCGTAACTTAATAATAAATATTGCATTAAGCTTTAACCACATTTTGTGAAATAAAATTATTTAAGTCTTAAAGTGCTAAGAGTTAATTAAATTTTAAGAACAATATGTCAGTCCGATGAAAGTGTTATTTCATCCTAATAAGAGCTTCGTTCAGTAGCGACAGTCAACAAGACGGAAATTACAATTTATTTATTAGAAAATACCTAAGTTCCAAATATTGTGCTAACTACACTCTCTATGTATAACATTTTGACTAAATATTAAGTACGATTTGGTGCTCAAATTTAATAATGTAAGTGTTAATTATTTAAATCTATGTATATAGAATTATTTATCTACAAATTTAAAATGTGCGTCAGGCTCGAAAGATTTGTCTAAGTCTAAACTGCCTAAGAAGTTTCGATTTTAAACAATTGTGACGACGTAGGTACATTTCGAAGCGACCACGTTGGTATTGTGCTATATTAGTAACTAATATAACTATTAAAAAATCAGTAGAGGGAAAGCAATTGAATATTAGTGGCCGCTTTTATCATACTGTAATCAATCATGTACAATTTAAATGGTTAATTCGGAAAAATATGACTTAACTGGCTTAGTTTTATCTACATGTTAAAAATGTAAAAGACAAAAATAACAAGCGTATGAATTGTCGCCCTTCACACGACCTACGAAGCAAGTGAAATTCTCGACGCTAAGTCTAGAGAGTCCGTGACTATAGGACCCGCTTGGTGCCCACCTCGCTTACACTTCGATCAATCACACTATTGTCCGATACGGTTCTGTTAGCTGCAAATACAAATAAAATACTTTAGAAAAGAATTAAACATTACACTAGGATGTTAGGCATTTGAAACTTTTTAGCAATTTTTGGAAATTAAACAACGTGTCAGAAAATATCGGCGGCATATTATGTTGTCGATATATTAAATAAAATATTATAAGATACTTTAAATAATTGTGGCATGAATGTGAAAAGTATCAAACAAATGTATGATACCGTATTATTAACGTGTTTGAGATACTACTTCGTATAATCGCTTGATGTAAGTATCTTTGGCGAGTAAGCACCAAAATCTACCGAAAAGCGGCTATCTATTGTTGCTAAAAAATACCATTTTATTTGAACTAAAGATTATTTTTTTAAATATATATTGCCTAGATTCTTGCAGAAGCTAAAATTGTAGGTAGAAATCTGAATGTTTGTCTATTCATAAGTTGCAGTCAAAACTGTAGGCCGGTCAAAAGTAATTTTTACCTATTAAGAGTTTTGACTGTAACATTGTTATAATGCCTTGAACTTAAATATTCTTATTTCTAAAGTTGCATATATATACAGTGATGTCGTTAGTCTATAATACAATCTCTACTAAGCAACTTAGGTTTAATACCTTTGCACGGGCCAGTGTGCAGAGGATCGACGACTCGTCCTATATGGCAGGCGGCTCGCTGCAGGCGGCACCACGAGGGGTAGGTGCGCGCGTCGCTGCCGCACAGCTGGCGCCGCGCCGCCGCGCCGCACGCGCCGCACGACACGCAGCGCGCGCCCGACGCGCCGCCCGACACGCAGCGCTGCCCTGCCCCGCACGATATTGATGCACACGTTGCGTTGGCTGTGGATCGTGATAAAACTGGGGAGTCAGTAGCTGTTTTATCCAAAGCATCAGAGGGCGCTGATTTTTGAGCTTTGATTCTATATACATCTATTGACGCCTATGATATATTACCGAGGTAGACAAAGCATATTAAAGAAGCACTTTTGCCAATTATAATTTGATCCCACCGGTAGGAAACTTAAATTGTATTAATAGAAACGAGAAAAGTAAAAGAGTATTCTTTACACGGGAGTAAGCAGACACGGCGACACGTAGTTAAATTACATAATATAGTTATAGAAAACATGAACTTTTATTTAAATAGAAATTCACCTATGCAAGGGCCTCGGTATGCAAGTGGCAGTGCTTTGCCTCTTTCACAGGCTGCTCGCCTCAGTGCGCAGGCGCCGGCATACGTGCGCCCATCTACGGCACATACGGGCGCGCCAGCCATGTTGCACGCACCGCACCGCACACAGTGAGCTCCCAGTTCCGCATCTAACACACACCGCTTGTCCCCGCCGCATCGAACTCCCTCACATGTTCCCTCTGAAACGTAAACAAACTATATTTTAACAAAAGATTATTGAAACCTCTGTAACAATCAATAATGTGGCCTGGCGGTGGCGGGAATACCAGTTTTAACCTGATTACCAGCTTAAGGAGGAGTGCACGAAACTCACACGTGCTTCTCGAGAGGGGACGACGTCCCCGAACACAGTTCACTTGCCCAAAGCCATGAAAATCCAGGATACAGATTCAACCGACGACATGTTTGATGTCATTTACAAAGCGTTGTTTTCTAACTATTCTAGTCGATAATACCTCATCGCTTTGTCATACCCTTCAGTGGGTTGGGTTATGAAAGATTACAAGCGCCAAAAGGATTACCTATGGCAGCAGCGCTGGTGACTGCTTTAACCACAGCACTATTCGTGTGGTGAAAATGGTCTATCGGTCATTGAGCCTTTTTTAGGTGTGTAAATCTTGGAATTTGTGTAAATTCAATAACCAGTGCTGTGTGTGCCCGCATCCCACAGCTTCCCTAGGCCTATGTCCAGCAGTGGACGTCTTTCGGCTGAGATGACGATGATGATGTATAAATACACAGGGCTTGAGTATATTATATAAGTTTTGTGATATACCTTCACTATTAACTGTTTAATAAACCACGCTGCAACAGATTAAATAAACTCCGAGCCGATGAAACGAAATACTATAAATAAATGTCATAAATTCACATAAGTTGTTTTGGACATTCTGGACAACCTTCTATATATAGGCTAGTGATATACCATTACGTACCAGACTATGGGGTAATAATCGTTTGGTACGTAATGGCATGTATGTATATTCTATTTCTAAATTGTAAAAAAGTAAACATTAATATTGAAAGTCTTCAAAAACAAAACATTTGATTAAGTAGCAAAAAATAAGATAAGATTTGAAAACAGTTCGCGTGTATCTTTTTTTTTTTTTTTAAGTTGTCTCTTGTCCTGCAATCTGTCTCTACGACATTGAGCTGGATTTTAATAAGTGAAACAATGGGCGCGTATGGCACAGTATCCAATGATATGTCCAAATTGGCGCTAGTTCCTCATGAAGACAGGTCTTGAGGAGCACGTCTTTTCAGCCTCTTGAGGAGCACGTCTTTTCAGCCTCTTGAAGGTAGAGTTTGGCTCAATGGACATAAGCTCTCTCACCAGAAGGTTTGGATATCGATTTAATCTTTCTGAGTATTTAGGTCGGGAGTTTTTTATTTCCTCCTTGACAAATTCAATTTTCAGATCTTTGTGGAGATACGTGTTTGTGATGTACCAGGGTGCTCCAGTAATCATTCGCAGAGTTTTTGACTGAAACCGCTGCAGGATCTCTATATTCGATGAGGATGCTGTTCCCCACAGCTGAATGCCGTAGGTCCAAATAGGCTTTAAGATACTCTTGTAGAGAAGAAGCTTGTTTGCTAGGTTTAGTTGCGACTTTCGACCCATTAGCCATTGCAGCTTGCAGAGTTGCAGATCAAGTGCTTTTCTTTTTGTTTGAATATGTTTTCTCCACGTCAGTCTGCGGTCTAGATATACGCCTAAGTATCTTACGTCATCAGCCTGTGGTATTTTGATGTCGTGTATCTTAATTTATTTTTTTATTTATTTCATTTATTTAAAACACGGCATAAAGCTTTTTACTGTAAAAAATTTGTACGTAAGTTTGCCAGAGTGTAAGTAAGACCTTCGTAACTAAAGCAAAAACTTTAAAGATGAGTTAATAATATAGACAGCTTCAAAACATTTATTGAATATTGCAATACAATATTAAAATATTGTCAGTAAATGGTTGCTGTTTATAGTCTAACACAGAAAATAGTCCCCGGTCCGGGACCAGGGAGATATTAACCATTAGATATAAAAGAGCTTCAAACACAATCCAGGTGCGTAAAATGTATGTCCTGGACAATTACAATAAGTGGTTTAGTGTAGAAAATACTCGTATATATTGTGGTCATGAGGCTATCCGGTCGTAAAACTGAGAAGCAGTTGTGGTGTTTAGAACCAACTTTACGCCGATTTTATCGCAGAATATTCATAATATGGAATGAGGACCATTGGGTCGGTTTAGGTCAACTGTAGGCCGACAGCTTAGGTCTACCTAGAGGTTCAAGTATGAAGGTGACACGATGATACTAAGTATTACGACTGTAGCACTTCGCCCACTCGTGGCTATACAGATGGAAGAGATAACAAGAAACTAAATATGTGCTTACCTATTGGTGTTGTAAATAATATTGCTTATGAACCACTTCTTATAAAGTGCTGAAGATGTAAAATGTTAATGTTAGACATAAATACGCCTACAACTAGTTTTATAAGTTGCAAAATCTTAGATTTCTGCATACCTGTTTGTTAGTTGTTACATGCATTTATTATTTAAATGTGTGAGCAAGTTTCTATCTTTAACTTCTGTTGTTTTAGAATAGTAAAAGATACATGTATTTAAGGTCTAAGAACATGTTAGTTAAGAACGAATTTAGTGATAGAGCCCGATTTAAGAGTGTTCTCAAAACTTTATATGAAATGTGTTTGATTTTTTGCTAGAGATCGGAAGTGTGTGTGGATTGATTTGGCAGGGGTATAGGAGGGTCAAGTGTACTTAAAACAGATTTTCCGATAGAACCGGATAGTCGGTTTTAAGTCGTCTAAGAGCTTGCGACAGTTCATCAATCAAATTTGTTTTAAATTATAAAAAAATATTTTAATATTTTTTTCACTACAAGACGGTGCAATTTGATTCCAAACATTTTTTTGTATGGAGACCCGCCATTGTTCTTTTCGGTCAACAAATAATATGCTTCTTCTTTGTCCCTCATGCTTCCAACTTCATCAATTCTTCCTTTTATTAACAGTCAGTTTTTCTCTGAAATGCGCTTCCAGTTGAAATCAGGATGTCCACTAACCGCTTTACGTTCAAGTAAAAAGTACGAGATCTTCAAAATGAGTTGGCAGAAAGGTCACAACGCTAGTACTCGACTGTGTATTTTGATATTTATGTATGTGTATGTTTAGTATTGTACGTGTATACTTGGGACAGCTTTGTATACATATATGCAGTAATGAATATAGTATTTTATTTATTTATTTAATAAATTTATTTTAATAAAGTTAAAATTTTCTGTTTTCTCTTGCACCTACCGCTACATCACCCGAAGGTCGGCTATCAGATAATGCCGTGGGCAATAAGTCCGCCTGTGTACAACTTGTGCATTAAGTTATATAAATAAATAAAAAACCTCTACTGTACAAGAAAAAATATCATAGTTATAGAACAGGGACAGTTACACAAAGAAAGTACAGTTAAAAAAGTTGTAAAATTGGCAGCCTTATCGCGATTTCCGATCTCTTCCAGACAACCGCTGGATGGAGAAGGAAATTAGGATAGCATGCGAGTTAGAATTTTACAGTACGATACGATAGTACGGTACAAGATAATTATAAGACTAACAAACTCATATAATTATTTACATAGCACACTGAACAGATTTCACACACACAATTTCTGTATAAAAAATATGAATTTCCTTAATATTGTTAGCGCTTTACTTTATTTTCAGAATCTGCTCTGTCTGCGACCCTAAGTTCAATATATCCTCACCTTTCTGTATCAGCTTTTATACATTTAGGAAAATATTAATAAATAGGAACAAAATGTGAAAGAAGTCATTATTCCTATTTCAATGATAAAAAATTAACACAAGAACTGTTCGGTTATAAATATTAAATGCATAGTAATAACTTAAGCAATGTAAGTATGCACGCGAAACCTTAAAAAATAAACACCGACTGTTTTAATATGCCAGTTGTACGAGTATTACTGCGGCTGTTTTTAGGTCAATTGATAATATTCAGTTGACCCGAAAACAATGGTAGTGAGGAAAATGCGCCTAGAAAATGCATACTGCGCAGGCATCCAAGTTAAAAGCGACAACAATAGATTTATTTTTGAATAAGAACTAAAAAGTTGTACAACTCTTTTTGAAAATCAAAAGGATCTTTTTTACTTTTTTTTATAAAGCAGTGGGATTACGTAACTGAACTAATAAATATACTGGAAGAGCAGTGTTACCACTTGTACCTAGTAGCTTAGAGTTAGTTTTTGTCTCTAAAAAATATAGAGATATACATAGATAGGAAAAGATAAATAGCAATGTTCTTTCTTTGGGAAATTGAGATAATAGTTAAACACACTGAAAGAGCAGAGATCATATTATGATTCATCACTTTACTTATATTTTAAGGATGTTGAAATCACGAAAGACAGTTATGCATGAGAATGGTTTAAGTCAGACTGTGATGTTATCACAATGAAATGCAACATAGAATACTGTATTCTTGAGTGCATCAGATATGTCTCAGGTTTTAAAGGATTTGTACAGCAGTGTTTATGAATTTTGACTTTTAATGACTGCGTGGATGGCATAGTGGTTTAAGTGGTAACTGCGCTAAATGTTGTGGGTTCGATGCCCACATGGGACAACACTTTGTGTGATCCACAAATTGTTGTTCTGAGTATGTATATTTATAAGTCACAGAATATACTCCTTGTCCCGCACAAGGTCCTGTTGTCTTCCCAAAATAAAAATCAATTGAACCATTCTCTATATATTAACTCTTTCCTATAATGCCAGCTAAGTTCGGATCGTTGATCTACTGGTTAGATCCAGGTTCCTAAGTCAGAGGTTCGATTCCCACCAAGGACAAACTTCGTCTAATTTTATGACGAGCACAATCATTTATAATATGATTAAAAAATGAAGCAGTCGAGACTGATTATTTCGAACTTTTGCAAGGTTTTATTTATTCATGCAAGTCACCGCCACTCTGAGCAGCGTTTGCGCACAATAGCATCATTTGGTCCACTCACGCGTATACATGCATTCACGACGTGCAAGGTGATGGCATTGATGACCCATTCCACTGTCAAACTGTTTTAATAAATTCCAAATCCAATTTACAATTCGAATGCGATTTCTGTGCCAAAATTTTCTCAAGTTACCG